ACCTGACAGAGTCTCCTCTGAGAGCGTTGTGGTTGATCGCTACCAACGGCACACCCCATATCAAGGAGGAGTCCAACCTGTCAGCAGTCTTCCGAGACTTCCTGTACTTTGCACTGAAAGTCGACCCCGAGAAGAGAGCCAGCGCTCATGACCTCCTTAGAGTGAGTCTATTCGGGATCCCAGTAAACATTTGTCACTGACGAGGGTACAGCACGAGTTCATGAAAGGCTGCGTTGACCTTTCTCAATTATCGCCATTGGTGCGTGCCGCAAGAGAAGCTCGGCTTGCTGAAAAGGCTAGAAAGGGACAGTAGGGCTCCCTTGGCCATGCATCCAAGAACATCTTCAAGCGGTTGAAACTTCGACATTAATCACGACCTTGACGACAACATACCTCCAAAATGGGGCTGCCTTTTACCTGCGCATTAAGATACCCCAGGAAAAACTGTTGGTTACGACGCACTCGGCTTGAGGTCGCTTTCCATCTGCGCTTTGCACAACTTTACTCATCCTTTGGTCAACTTCTTTGGCTCTCAGTATGTTTCAAGGAACCAGTGTGTGTCCGTGCCTTGGCCAGCCGCCTTTCGACCCCAATCATAACTCTACTTGCTTTCAAGATACCACATCAGGGCTCTGAACCATTTTCGGCTTGGACTTTCTGACCTTTCTTCTTCTTGGCGACTTGCACACGTAGCAGCATTCAGCATGTTGGCGACCAAGCAATGTCCTTTTATGTGACGGCTTTTTTCTCTTCGCATTACATAGAGGCGACCACGATCCTGGACTTGGCAACTTGCCTCATTGTCAGGCTTTGGTTGCATTTGCAGAACCCTCTCTTCCCATTGGATCGAGACATCCGCTTTGGACCAATCATGTTTCCCAAGGTTTAGTGGCCAATGTCACCCTGGATATCCGTTACTGAGCGGGGACGACACGATGAATCGTATGATTTGATTTGGCCAGCGGGGTGGCCAACTCACATTTGTTGGGGCAGACAGGCAAACCCCTTTTCAACCTGTCTCGTGGGATTTTCTCTACTCTGTACGGAACACATCCGAGAAAAAAAAAAGGATCGATTTTCAGATGAGACGTCGATGGACCGTTACGAGAGGCCACGTTTTCGGCTCTTTGGTCCCTCATATGTCTCAAGCCCACACAGAGGGGGGCATTCTTTACTGGTCATGCGCGAGTAGGTGTATCACCGTGGCCGTGGCACAATGGCTCTTCTAGACAGACTTGACTAGGTAGAGGAATGACCTTCAGGCCCAGCAGGCCCAAGAAAGTTCAAACCAGTGCAGTCTTGTTCCCCTGTGATGTGAAAGCTGTTTCATGTCCAGCGACAATTTGAATGGAGTCTCCCAGGTCTGTCCCAGCCTGCCACTTGCATATGCGCTGAAGGCCAAAGTCGGCTCTTTCTTTCACAAAGAGAAGCATATGCAGCGAAAACGTTTGTCTAGTAAATCCACCCTCATCCTTTTGGCATTTTACTTTCACGTCCACTGAAATGCCAGGCAGATTCACAGTAGTCGTTTCAAGGAGCCTAGGTGTTGGTATTTGAAGTGAAGTTTTGCATCAATCCCATTAATCACCATTCCTTTAATGACCCTGTAGGATCCCCCCCCCCCCCTTGACAATATGTCCTTTTCCCTCTTTGCGGCTGACGCCACGGAAAAGCCATAGGAAAGCCACATGTGCGGTACCGATGCCAAGTCGAGATTTTGGGGACATCAAGGTAAGTACTTGGGGGGGAAGTAATAAGGACAACTGGTCAGACTATTAGGTTGGCGGTGCAGCTGACTTCGTACCGTGGCTCCGTGGGCTTTCGAGATTGGCAATATTTGTGAATATTCATGAATATTCATGTCAAAAGGTAAAAAGGTTGAAAGGGCCCTAAGGTGGGGGAGATTGAGAGTTTAGTCGCCAGAGAGCTTTAGGCTTGATCTATTTGGGTGCTAGAGATCTGGCTGAGCCCTTTGTTGATGTTTAATGGCAGTCGTAATGGAATACTTCAGAAATTGTAGGGCTTGACAGAGGGAGGGGGGGCTGAGAGAGGTGAGACTTTTTTGTGTGTTTCTAAATTATCTTGGGGGACTGGAATACTATACAGGCTTTTGGAAAAACACACACACGGAGTTGCGAGATGCTGCTCAAGCAAGTGGCAGAGGAGATGGAGGTGCGACGAGTCCCGGACTTGACCACCTATCAAAGACTGAGGGTTTGTTTTATCCCGCCACATTTCGGTTCCTTTCTATTCTTCCACGGCCCTTGGACTCAAACACGGCCTTACTGCATAAACCCGGATCGTGTCAGCCTATCTTATGGGAGAATGGACTTACCATCGACGAAAGGAGCTAATGAAAAGGTCTACTTCATCATTAAATGCACATATGAACTACCAGCCAAGACTGTAAACCCAGTGGTTTCGGACGGCTTGTCCATCTCAATGCGTGTAGAGGTCTTTTGGGCAGTGAGCAACATCTAGTATCACTAGACCTTGGAAGGGACCGAAAAAAGGCTGTTTAAAGATGTGGTACAGTATTTATGTTTTGAAAAGAGTAAATATCTTGGACGCCCTATAATTGCCACCCTCCTCGGTAGGATAGTATAGTCACACGTGCCCTCCGAGTCTAAGTCAGCTGTGTTAGTAACGCTGGAGAAAGAGAGATCCAAGCCGTATTCTTGAACAACAACTGAAAAAGAATAAATATAACCCCCTACCTTTCCTAGCCGAGACATGCGTAGCCATCTCGGTTCTTTAGTCATGAGAACATATTACTCTTCCATGGGTAGTGCCCCCCCCCCCCCGCGGGGTCTGAGTCTCGACTTCTACCACGGGCTTGACTAACTAGGGCCAGATATTCAATTCGTAGACAGAACAAGATCCGATGCGATTGTAGTCGTACAGACTGCGGGTTCTGCTCCAAGGGCGGCTTTTGGTGCAGATACTCTGCCGCTCTACCTGTCCTCGATGCTTACCCAAAAAAAAAGCGCCCATAATTGATGAGTGGGCAGGCTTCTCTTCAGTGTGGCCGCTTCCGTGTCAAGCACCTTGTGTAGCCTCAAAAAAGTTGGATTCCTGTAACGATGGCATGGTCAAAGGCCTTTGGTCACAACGCACAAGTTACGGGTAGCCTGAGGATGACGGCTCTCGTGATGAATGCTTCCTCCACATGAGAGCCGTAACGTACTTGCACCGAAAAAAGGTCTTTCAACTTTTGACAACTCCTCAGCCGGAACTTCCTTCTTCGGCTCTGCCTGCTCGCCACAGACAATCAAAGTCGAGAGCCCATTGAGGGCAAAGGCACTAGGTCCCCTCAAAGCACAGAACTGTCTGAACCACACCCAGCATCGAGCCCATAGATTGAGTCCCAGCTAAACAATCGCCAGCCAGATTTCATTCCCCTCGACACCATCTGCCCCCTCCTGAACCAAAGATCCAAAAGGGAGAAGAAAAAAGGTCGGTGAAAAGAGGAGAGCTGACGAACCTCGGCGAATAACTGTCATCTCGCTTCCTTCTGCTCGCAGAGTCCCGACGGTGACTACCAATCAAGAAGAATGGCAATATCAATAAAATGTCCATTGTCCACGCAGCGCCAGCAAGTCTAAATGAAAGCAGCCAAAGCCTCGGTTGGTTGCAGTTGAGAAGAATGCAACGTCCGGTTCGACCACTTACACTGTACCAGTATTCGTCTTCGCAGATTTCTATCCGAATCGGAAAAAAAAACTAGGCAGGTAAGGACCCGACTCTCCATTCTAAGCGGCTAGCTACAGATGAGCAAAAGGGGAAAATAGAGATGAAATAGGTATGTCAACCAACGACAACATCATGATTCAGGTACCGCGGGAGAGCAGGGGCCGAAACCCGGCCGCGCTGGGAAGCTCCATGCTCTCCGTCTGATGTGTCCTAGCGAATTGCCCCCAGAATAGGAATTGGAAAGGAAGAGAAGAAGAATAAAAGCCCTTGGCCATGGAGCAAATGTACGCGCACAATTCTCCAACTGAGAGAAATGACAAACCCGCAGAGAAGATCCTGGCGGTGAAGTTACGGATACCTGCGACGGGACGGGATGGGATGGGGGAGAGGGATGACCCCCCACGAAAGCATGCCCGAACACGGGTATCCTAGTCATCCGAAGATGGAGACGGGGAAGCTCCAAGTTGTTCAGGCTTCGAGAAGCTCTCTTCCGCCTAGTGGATGTTTCGAACTTTCGTCTCAAATAATTCTAGCAGGGGCGGTCAGCAAGTTATCGGTGTGGGGGGTGCCGTGGGATGTGATTGGGAAGGCTAGAAACTCGACCGTCTTTGTGGCAAGGGCGCCTTCGGACATCTGTCGGTCTGGAAGGGCTCCGCCATGGCTTCTGATGTGTTCAGATTGTGAGATTGGAGGAGTAGCAGGTGACGGTGGAATAGCTGCTTCTTGGCTGGGAACGCGAAGGCCGCGAAGCCTCGTCACGGACTGGAACCATTCGATCAACGAGAAGGGCAGAGCCGGGGCGCCGCGGTGACCGCAGAGTAGGGAAGCATACTTGATGAGTATAGCCGAGATCAGTCAGAAGCAGTTGCCCGAGGGCCGCTGTGTTTGTGAACGACTTGGGAATGCCCGAGCTTGACCTCTCGAGGCTTTCGCAGACGCTTTGGTTGGGGGTAGATCTCTGAAGATGTGGGCTTAAAATCCTTTTGCTAATGAGAAAGAAACGCGTCTCATGAACCGGAGTGCTAGCACGACGCCAAAATTGCTTGGGCGACCACGAGATGTAGGTGTGCAAAGGATCGACGGTACTCGTGAGCGTAGTTTGCCGTGAAGTCCAGTGAGGCCGTCTGGGCTGATTGCCGCGCAACTATCAGTCTGCTTCGCAGCCAAAGCGAGACGAGCATAGCGATGGACAGCTGGTGAAGGTAAGCCATTAATTTGCATAGCAATAGTAGCCAGCTCTCCAGCTAGGAGAAACAATACGTGAGAATACCAATAGCGGTTCTTCATATGCTCCTCGAAGTGACTTGTCACTTGTCATGCTGGTTTGGGTCGATCGGAGCTTTATGCGTAAGAGGTGTCATCTGAATCCCTGCAGGAATACAGACACTTTGCGGGAGCGCCGCGTACGAGCTCTGAAGCCCATGCCACAGTGAGTATAATCTCTCAAGTGGCAGTAGAGGGGAAGCCCAGATGGTGTCTCGAGTAGTTGAGAACGATAGGCTCATTTTCCGTAAGTAAGACAAGCCTAGCCGACGGTTCACGCCGTGCACCGCGAGGGGCGCGTGGCAAGCCTGTCAGATCTGGGGACGGATATGGCGAACGGGGTCTTTTTGATAGACATGCCCCGTTTCCCGACTCCTGTGTATCTGAGGTAGGCCGTTTGCTCCAAAATGCGCTTCCTGCATATCTGTATGTCTTGAAGCTGTCGATACCTTACTCGAATGAAAGGAGCCGCAAACATGAACCGGGACAAAGTAGCGAGCCAAGGTCGTGGTGGTCTACTTTGGGCTTGGCGGTGTATTTGGTGTCGGTAATGTCAATTAAACTCGCCTCTCATTACTTCCGCAGTCAGAGAGAAGACGGGAAGGAAGCCAGACACAGACAAGTGTATTCGTCCATGGTCTGTGCTGCGACACCGCGCTTCTGGCAGTAGTTAATAAGGTTTTTGGTCTAGGCGCACGTCTAAATTGGCCGTTGCCATTTCGGGATAGGATGGGGCCTTTTGGGGCCGCATCGTGAAAAAAAAAAGTGGCCAGCGGGCTGGCGACAGCGGATCGTGAAAGCTGCGAGTCCACACTTGAGCTCTAGACTCCCGTCGGGACTCCAGGCGCTTGGCCCTTGGGGAAGAAGGGTCGACCCGGGTCACTGCCGGCATGATCGTCGCGCCCCATTTCCAGTCAGCTACTTCGTATAGATACTTATCAACGCAATCAAATTCTCACTTTGAACGATTTGAGGAGACGGGGCGAAAATTGAGCGACATGCTTGGATTCTGGCAAACAGTACCTTGAAAGAGCAGGGAGGGACAACCGGTTAAGAACACCAGCGTGGCAGGTGCCTTGGATTTTCACGTTGCTTCCCGTCCTCAACGTGGGTAGGTAATCTGCCAAGGGAAGCCGCTCATTAGGTAAAACAGTGCTTCCTTTGGACAACCCCCACGGCTCTTGCTCAACTCGTATCAATGCGACGCAACAACAGGCGCCGTCTCACTGCGCTCCTCCTCGTCTCCTGTTTCTCAACTTTGGAAACCCGGGAAAAGAAAGTGACAGCTACGTGCGGAACGTCCATCAGGCACTCTGGAGTCTACGCTTGACCTCCTCAGGCTCTACAGGGATGTCTGAACCGAGTCGACCTATTCGTACCTTATTACTTGAAAATCTTGACCCGTCATCTGACCGATTTTTTATGAGACACCCCAGCCACAGCATGCCATTCCGTGATTCCAGGAGCTTAGCTCCTCCCCCAAAGTCCTCTCTGATATTCCATGACAGACAATATACCCATGGCGGAACCTCTCCTTTTCTCCACGCGAATCACTAGTCTACTCCAGACCGTCCTTCCCGCCCTGCCGGGACGGCACAGGGACAGGATCCGCGCCGCTCGGTCTTGACATGCCAGTGAGAGCTGCGTTGCCCCTGTAATTAGGCCGTAGCTCAGCTTCGTAGGACACGAGCAGCAGCTCCAACACAGCAAATCAGATGAGTACGGTATTGCCAGGTACTGGTAGAGCTACACAAAATATCACCACATCGATCCACTACCGTACACTCTCGAACCCTTTGAGGAAACCCTGTCGAGTTTCCACGGTCATCTTGACACGTACACGGAGAGCCTACGGAAAACGCCAGAAGCAAGCAAGAATAGAAAGACCAATCTCAGCCCCCACAATCGCTCCATATTCCCGAATCCTATCCGTCCAGCATGGGAAATCACCCGACCGAGACTACATGTAGGGTTTAGGGACCTTCTGCTGTTGATCCTTGCTACCGGCGCAAGCCGACAGCGCTGAGACTGCTGCAACTCGCAGGGAGAACGGAGCACCTATACCAAATTTAGATCAGCAGCGCAGCACCCGACAGGTTCAAAGCACGGAGACGGAACGTTATCCGGGGCACAGACAGGCTTCTCGACGCATACTCTAGACCGGCCTGGAGGTTCTCGAGGACCACCGTGCCAGCGCACAAACGAGAGCGCTATTCGAGACTGCCAATTCAGGGGAACACGAGCAGAGCTACCCCTGCCTCAAAGCCACTCGGAAGTCGAGGAAGCTCCCCAGCAACACCGGATACCTCTCTATCCCACGTTTCTTCGTGTCTGGATGAGATGTGTCGTTTGGTTGGGGAGAATGCGCCAGGGTCGGAAACGTGAGACGGATTGCCAGCCCATAACGGTAGTCGTACGGATTTGTTATCAACTCAGTCTCGGGCAAGCACCTGGGCTTTCGCTGGCCTCAAGCAATTGTTCTCACCGGCGCGTCGCGCATTCCGATGCCTCACAATCCTCGCTGCTATATAAGACTCAATGTCCGGTCATTCATTTTTGAGTATTGGATTCGCGAAAGACTTGCAACACCAAACAATATTCATCCTTTTGGTAGCAACGGTCAAGTCCCTTTGCCAGCTTCCAGCACACAAAACGGGTTAGGAAGGTCACCGACAATGAGATTACGCACACATCCCCCAGGTTCTCCATGTTCCATGTTGGCCCACAGCCATTCCACAGTCTTGCCTCACCCCCTTCGCAGACACGGTTTATTCAGAGACGACTTCATCAAAACCCCGGCAGCCTCTGCTGGGAGCGAGATCGGAGGCGACTGCATCTGAGACCATTGCAAGCCTGCATTGCATCTCAGACACACACAAACGAGACTACAGGCTTTGGGTCGAACCAGCTGTCGTTCCTGCATGACACTGAACCGCTCGCGCTGTCGTCAATAACAGTCGCGAAGTGCGTCGCTGTGGCGCTTCCACACCGACGAGCCTCTACGAGCATGGAGAACAATAAAACTCGACGGACTGAAATGCCTTGCCCTGAGACACACCTTGACGAGAGAAAAAAGAGTCGCAAATGTTGACTTATCTGGGACCTGCCGACAATCTTCGATGCTGGCCAGACCAGCAACTTTACCCAATGAGCGGCGTATACTCTGTCGTACCAGGAAGTTGCGATCCAGCACACGGCCTCAATCATCGGCGAAGACTATCGGGGGCTGAATCATGCGTCGTGATCGGGCTCAATGGGGAGCAGTCTGATTGATTGGAAAGCAGCAACGCAACGTCATTCTCTTCGATGGATGCGAAAGACGCAGCCCAACGGTCCCAGGGTCTCAGGAGCGTAATGCCAGAAAAGATTTGGAGCGACTCAAACCGCCGAGGGCCCCATTACCATCTACATCATAGCGTCAATCCACCGCCGCCGGCTAGTCAGAGCAGAGCGCGCAGGACAAGCGAAGCAGTGATCGACACGCGGATACTTGCCACCTAAGCCGTTGTGTGGCTTTCGCGCCGTTGGCACCGTCTTACCACGATTGTTGGAAACCAAGATCGAGAGTTTGGCAGACTGGAACAACCCGGAATCGTCACACATATCCGTACAGATTGAATCAACGCAGATCCATAAGAATTAGGGGCCCGCAGAGTCCGTCATTGTCAGTGGAGTGAGAGCCAAAAGTGGTCGTTGTGGATCTCTCTGACAGGTGACCTGGGCTCAGCTATGATGTAAAAAGATCTTTTTTTCCGCATAGTTGATGACTGAATGAAGCTGATAACTGTTCCATCAAAAGACAGGAGGAGGGGCACCGCACCGCACCGAACTTTGGACACAGGGACACGGTTCTACGAGAAATAGAACCCGATGATAAGGGAGAAACGAAGGGCAGACAAGACAGCCTGGGACCCTGGAACCAGCCAGGCCCAGAGGCAAGTCTCGGGAACTAAATGTCCTACGGGGAGGCAAGGCGGGATCATCTAGAACCGTTTCCAACGCTGTCGTCCTCTTTGGAGATTTACTGTCAGCAAGCAAGACCCCAGGACGATTGGTAACGCGATATTTCATTGCTCTCAACTTCCTCCCACACCATGGCCAACGACATGACGCTTCGGGCGCAGTTACCATCCACAAGCTTGCGGCAAGCACTTCCGCCGATGGTGATGCTGGCATCCTACCCTTCTTTAGATTGCATCCAATGGGCAATGGGAATTCGCCTCAAACTCAATCTTTAGCTTTCCTTCTTTTTGTTTTCGCTTTACTTGGATCTCAGCAGAGATAACGACAGTGGCGCCTTTCATCCCATCTTGACCCATTGGGCTGGCAAGGTGCCGCCGGGTGCGCTGTCACCGTGGCGCGTCTTTCATGCAGCATGTTTGAGAATCTTAATATCAAGACTCAGGGACCACGAGCCCTCAGTCGCGGGAGATTCAACTGATTTTGGGCTCTCGTCTCGTCTACTCTTAAAGTTGTGGCAGCGGATGTGAGGCAACGGACGTGCAGTGGGCCAAACAAACTGTGGTGACGTATTTGCACCTTTTCAAACGCTACTGTAGATATCCAGGATTCAAGCTGGACCCATTTTACGGTAGGGTGGATTTGCATGGGGGTTTCCACGCTAAGGTATGGCTTGACGGGCAGGAAGCCGGGCAAGGTGCAGGATGGAGTAGCCGCCACCCACTAGGCCTGCAAGCTGTACTCCACACCTCGTCGTCGCTAGTGCCGTCCATCCCAGCTTCCACACCACAGTGACCGCACTCCCATCCACACCCACCTCCAAGGCTCCAACATGTTCCCAGATTCGAGGTGCTCAACTGCTGCTCAGTACGGCCAGATGGCCAGATTGCCAAACACATCTTGCCAGGGGCACCATAGGATCCCCCTTCACAATTGGAACGCTGAGAGGTGTCCAAAAATGTGACACGCTCCTGGAAACTGACCGCAAGGAACCTAGCATGGAGGCTGGATGAGGACCCTTTGAGTCGCGTCGCCTTGCCCTTTCTATCGCACTCACGGATGGAGGTCGGGGACCTACCTCGTACACTCTCTCGCATGCTTCCAAGCTTCTCCTGCCAAGCGTATGGACAGACGCTTGTTGGATCTGTACGTTCAGATTCATCCCGGGAGCTCCCCACGCAAGGTCAATCCAAGGTCCCTCCCGCTTCATGGCTAAGCAAGCGTACTGTGTGAGGTGTTCTCTGCATTTAATTGTCCCCTATCCCGAGCGAGAGAACCCCCGTGGCCACCACCCCTGTATGCAGCAGTCGCGGACTTGCAGTACCTTACCAGTAGAGCCGCAGTTGTGTTGGAAGTGGGTGTGCCCAGATCACCCAATTGCCCATCTCGCCCAGCCTAGCATCGCCATCCTGACCGGCCGAAACAATGTCACTCACCGCGTCGACAACCACAGCTCCAGTCCGCCCGCTGTCAAGCACCAAAGATTTTTCCTACCTTCGGTGAATGGGTGATTAAACATCTGTTTTAATTTTTTTTTTTAAACTGGGACCCCCAGCTTGCACTAGAACGGTTCCGCGATCGCCGCACGCCACGCCCGGAATCTCGACGTCCGTCGCTCTCGACACAAGGAAGGCACGACGCTACCTTACCGACTGTACAGATACGGACAGCTTCCTCCACTTCAGCTCAGCGTACCTAGCGTTTTAAGGTGAAGCACGCATGAGAGACCGCCTTGTACCTCATCTTGACCAGACCCTTCGTCTGCTTCACATCATCGGCATCCTGCCTCTGCGAACACAAGGTACCTCCACATCAGCTACCTTTTCTTACGCTAGGTTCGGATACCGTCCCTTCCCAAGCTTACCTCACCTCCACCGTTTGGACTGTCGGTCCCTTCCTTCCTTACTTTAGCTTACACAGGCCACACCTTCCCTTCCCCCCTTCGGACCTAACTATATCAACTTGGGACACCTACTTCCTTTCACCTGCCTGCACCTCCAACTTTTTTTTCCCACCCACCTCGTATTCCATCATTGTTTTCTCTCCATCAAGCTTGACTGCTGCGACTCTCTGCAAACACTTCTCATATTCGCACCTTCATCTTACATCATCTAACAGGTCAAAGCCTTTCTCGCGTCGACCAATTCTTTCCCTCTCCCTACCACAAACAATTTTACCTCGTATCCTTCTCATCACCACCCGACCGATCGCAAAAATGGCTGCCGCTCGCTCTGCCTTCCGTCTCACCACCCGCTTCGCTCCTCGCGTCGCCATCCGCAGCCAGGCTGCTCGCCCCTTCTCCGTGTCTGCTCGCGCCTTCAAGAGTGACGTTGTCAGCGAGAAAGAGGTTCCTGTCTCTGTATACGCTCCCGACGCCAAGGGCACTGGTCAATCCGATCATTTCTCCATCCCCGTCCGCGAACACGACTCTCGCCCTCCCACCGAGTCCCCCGTCCCCGGCCCTGAGAATGACGATGTCGTCCCCCTCACCCGTAAGACTTTCGACTCGATGCCACCCATGATGCAGAAGCTCTCCGTCATGGGCAAGACCATTGTCGTCACTGGGTACGTTTCACACCCTTCAATTGCCATCAATTACGGGCACTCTGCTCCAATTGATCATTTTGCTCTTAAAAAAACATCTCGATTGACTTCAAAATCCTAGCGGTGCTCGTGGTCTGGGCAACTACATGGCTCGTGCTTGCGCTGAGGCTGGTGCCAAGGCCCTGGTCATCTTCGATGCCAACCAGGAGTTGGGTGACGAAGCTGCTGCCGAGCTGCACCAGAAGACTGGCTTGCCCGTCACCTTCTTTAAGGTGGATGTCCGTGACGGCGCTGCCATTAATGCTGCAGTCGACTCTGTGGTCGAGCTCTACGGCGCTCCTGATGTCCTGGTCAACTCTGCGGGTATCGCTGAGTACGTCATATCCCCATAGTGCAGCGTGCACAACATGCACAGCAGCATTCACCCCTGTCGCTTAGCGAGACCCACTAACAATCGTTCTTTGAACAGCTCCAACATCAAGGCCGAGACTTACGACCCCGCCATGTTCCGTCGTCTCATTGACATCAACCTGACTGGTTCCTTCCTCATGTCCCAGGCTGTTGGCCGTGCCATGATGAAGGCTGGCAAGCCTGGCTCCATCATCCTGGTCGCCTCCATGTCTGGCAGCATCGTCAACTACCCCCAGGAGCAGTCCTGCTACAACGCCTCCAAGGCTGGTGTCATCCAGTTCGGCAAGTCCCTTGCTGCTGAGTGGGCCAAGTACAACATCCGCGTCAACTGCATCTCTCCTGGTTACATGGACACTGCCCTCAACCGTGTCCCTGCTCTTGACGCCCAGAAGAAGATCTGGAAGTCCCTGACTCCCCAGGACCGTCTTGGTGCTGTCGATGACCTCAACGGTCTCTGCGTCTTCCTGGCTTCTGATGCCTCCAGCTTCATGACTGGATCCAACGTCATCATCGACGGTGGTTACACTTGTTACTAAGCTTGTGCATCAGCCCGGCCATTCTCTGAGCTTGGCTTTTTTGCTTTGTTTCAGGGAAGGTCTGTCATGAACATGGCGAGTTTTGAGCTTGCAGGCTGCGTCCCGTCATGCAGCTACGATGACGAGCTTTGCCGATCCACACAAACGGTAAATTTGCACTAGGCAGATGTGATGCCAGTGGAATCAGCACTATGGCTCCGGCATGGTCGCCTACACTACGGCGACTTCGTGCCGATTTCTTAACGTCAATGCGTTCTTTTTTTCCTTTCGCCGGCCCAACAAAAGTCTTCCGGGACTATACCCCCCAGTAGTCCAAAAGTCGCACAGCCATCCACTCAACCCTCGACTTTCGACCTCCAGCTATCATCTCTCTCACACGCGTGTATGTTCTCAAGCAGGCAAGGCAGGTTCAGGAGTCAACAGGAACGAGACAAAGATTTGGGGATTTGGACTAAAGGTTCTTTTTTTCATGGTTTTGGGTCATGCTCTTGGTGGCTTGGGCAACCAGGTTAGCAAAAGAGGATAGCGTGTGACGGACAAGACGATGATTCAGGGTTTGGACTCTGGGATTCCCGGTAGACAGGACAGAACAGACAAAGAAATTCGCAGGATAGAATCCGAAGAGAAAAAATACACGTCTTTACATTACGTCACTTCATTGGTATTTTGCATGTTTTGTGAATTGAGACATGACGATGGTAAGCTTTGTTAGTCTCGACCAGTTTGTGTGCTGTAGAGACGCGAGGCTGTCCTGTTGTGTTCGAGGCTTTCAAGATTGACCGTGGATTTCCAAATATGTCGCATATATGATGGGCGGTGTTGAATCTCAAGGCTATATGCTGCAGTTGCAGTTGCCGTTGTTTTGATCAAACACACACCCCTCCCTAAGAAAAGGTGTCTTCTGGCTTACATGATGCCAAGCGTGGGAATTTGGCATAATTATGAATTGTGTAGCTTTGTCCATCCTAAAAACGAGGAGGGGGAGATCCCTATCGGCCCGAGCCGTTTCCATGCCGAACGGGCAGCTCCAGGATCACGATCGGGCAAAAAAAAAAAAAAAAAAATAAAACCCAGCGACAACAGGGCCGGCTGTACCAACGATCATCAACATCATCGTAGAACCAACGATCGTGGGTTCCTCCGCGGGATGGAGGTAGTTGGCAATTTGGAGAACACTGCCGACGGGAGATTCAAACCAGCCTTATCGTGGGCTCCACGATGGGTTGAATTTGAGTTGCGACTCCACAGCGGGAAGAGAGTAGGAACCTTGCGTTGGTTGATGGTGTGCTCGTGGGCTCCACCTCACGATGCTCCAAACCCAAGGGCGGCTGGCTTCGTGGAGCTTAAAAAAAAAAAAAAGGGAGGGGGGAAAGCAACGAATCCACATCCGGATTCAACCCCGGACAGACGGTATGAGACCGTGCATTTTGGCTGAACCATGTCAAGACACTCCAGGAAGGAAAAGCCTCAAGCAAGAAAGAACAGCACAAGACTGCAGCTTTGTGCAACACGCAACAGCAACACGGATTGTTCTGCTTAGGGGTACGCAAGTTCGACTGAAATTCAATAGTTCTTTCTTGCCGCATTTGATAGTATCTTACAAAGGGGGGGGAGAAAACAAAAGTCGTCATCCTGCGTGTTAATTCCACATTTGCAAAAGTCCTAAGGCCGTCCTCCTCAACGCCTGGGTATTCGCCATCCCAAAAAGTACAGATTCGTCGCCCGTTGTTCCACTCCTCACTTCAGCTCTGTAGTCGTCTGCATTGCGATGCTGTTTACGCTGCCGAAACAAGCAATCATCCCTTGACATATTAGAGCCTCCTGTCCACACTCGTGTGCTGTGTCAAATGAGCCCCTTACCGCCAGATTGGCCACCGAGATATCTGCTTGGCCGAAGCTCTAGAAAGTAATCCATGATTACGCAACTGAGCGAAGATCACAAGTAGGCAGGTAATCAGAGTACGCCTACAGATCTCTTTCCGACTCGGCAAACTCGATGAGGGAGAAAACGTGGGACCGCTGTGAGACCCTGCATCAGTAATGACAATGGCTAGTCAGCAGCAGGGGGAGAAACTTACCAGAACCTTATTCTCGGTCATGATCTCGTAGAGGCGAGGAAGAACATTGCGGAACAGCCGCTCATTCCAACCACCAGCCTCACCTCCAAGCTCGTGCTGCTTGAGCAGATCCTCTTGAGCGCTCGTTTTGACTACATTGCGGGCAATGTTGCGAAGAATCAGCACCGCGCTGAGAGGAATGCCGGCTGCTTGGGGAGGAGCTGCGGGATTCTGCTCATCGGGAGCCGTGGCTGTCTCCTCGTAGTGAACCACAAGATTGTCACTCGGCTGAGGTCCCGCTTGTGCCTTCTTCTCGTTGATGGCGATGCCGTTGAAGATCTGGCAGCAATGGGTTTGAAGATGGTGACCCATCAGGGCAAGCTTCATCTTTGTAGGCTTCTTGTACTTGGTGCAATCGGCCCACTGGCATTTGACTTCTTCCTCCTTGTTGTCGAAGACGCCCTTGTCATTACGAACCCACTTGAGATGGGTGGCGACGACATGGTTCCACATGGTCTCTTTGGTCCCAAAGAAATGACCGCACTTCTCATTGGGTCGACCAGAAGCTGAGTCCCATAGACAACGGAGGAAGACTTGGCCGTCAAGACCTACAGGCCGGAGTCGACAACGGATTCCGCGGATGATGAACTTCTGCTGGACTTGGCCAGGGTTTCCGGTGCCAGCCCAGACTTCAGCCTTGGAGCCCTTGTACACTGAGCAGCTGTTTCTTATGAAATCGGCCGGGGTAATCAGAGATTGATCGATGGCCTGAAGCGCCGCCTTGAAGGCATTTTGATACGCCTGCCAAGCTGCGATTTGAGTGACAAAGGAGTCATTCACCTCCTCAAAGAAACACTTGACCCACTGGTTGCATCTCTCAGGCTCCTCTAGCTTCAATAGATCCTGCAACAAATCTTCAGGCATGGCAGCCGGCTCATGGCCAATGAGCGGCTTCACTGGAGGCTTCAGAAGCTCCTCTACCTGGTATCGCCTAGCATTGTGAGAGAGGAGGCGGACAAGATGATGAATCAGGTGCTCGCAGTTGAGAGACTTGACGAGGTTATCGACGTTGCCGACAACTGCAGTGTACTGGTAGAGGAAGTCGAGGCAGGCATCTTTCAGCTCGTCGTCGTTGAGAAGCATCAGCTCGCTGATCTTGGTCAAGACAGCCGTAGGTACCTTGTCCAGCCTGTTTGTGGCCTCAAGATTCATCGAGATACGTCCAAGTGCGCGGAGAGCTGTGAGGATGATACCACGATCGTCGGAGCCCTTCAGCTGCTTCATGAGAACCTTGTACAGGGGATCTCGAGAGTCAATCTCCAAGTAGGGTGTCAATGCCTCTGCAATGTCCAACATTTGATGCTTCAACTCGACCAACCACTCATGCTTGGGGAGGCTCAAGACAATGCAGATGAGGTCTTTGATCGGTAGAAAGTCAGCCAAGTGCGAAGCGTTCTCGCGGAGCTGCGACATGTTCCTCAACGTCAAAGCAGCCTCATTGACGAGTACCATCTGATCAGATAGGTGCTCGGGCACAATGAGTTCGTTCACTTGCTTTGCCTCCAACGTGTCAATGCGTTCCAGGATATCTTCGGTTCCCTCATTGCCATCAAGGGTGTCGATGTTGTCGGCGGCAGTCTGCGAGACCCAGGAGATCTTCCACTTGACGTCGTAAAAAATGCTGCCAATTTCCAGAACCTTCTCGACGAGGCCTTCGCTAAGGCCAGGAAAGCCTTCAAACTTGAATTTGTCATGACGCTCATAGCTGATCTTGACCAAATGGTAAAGCGCAAACTGCTGCTCTTCGAAAATGGCAGAGCGCAAAGCCATTAAACAGCGAATGTAAATATTCGGTCCTTCGAATCCAACTGAATATAAGTTAGCGGCTGAATACATCTCGATACGAAAGCAATAATCTTTTTACCTCCAGGGTAGGGTCCACTGCGGCGAGGAGGCTCCAGAAGGGAGCGCGCCACCTGTCGGCGGCGAGCAAACTCGGTCGGGTTGTTGCTAGGTGTATCGACAGGACGCATGGGAAGAATATGCTGCTGGTTCTGTGGCTGAAGCGAGCGCGGAAGGAATGCTTCAACGGACGCCGAAGTGTTGTCTGGGTTGGGCGGATTGTAGCTGCCGCTAGGTCCACGCGGTGGAGCTCTAGGCTGGTGAGGGAGAGGCACAGGAGTGTGCTGAATCTGCTGCGGAGTTCCATGATGACTGCCTGATTGACCACCCGGGGTAGGGGTGTTGAGGTGGCTCGGCTGTTGACCGGAGACATGACGAGTAGGCCTCGCGGGACCTGTGTCGGGTTGAAAGATGACTCTTTGGGGTGGTGCCTCGCGCAAGCCACGAGAAGCTCGCACACTGGATGTAGGCGCAGCGTCTGGAGTCGGGCGCTCTCGTGTGGGGGTGCCATCATCACCCGAAGCTGCGGCAGAGTCAGCAGCCGTGCCGCTGTCGCGCTTAGCGCCGCGAAAGTTCTCTCTGGTTCGGGATAAGAGACCACCGCCCTTGGCAGAGACATCCTCCAAGATGTCCTTCGGCGGGGGCTCCTTGCCGTGGAAGAATTTGATCTCGTAGGCAGCAAGGTTTTTGTAGTACTTCTCCTTCAACGAGAAGGCAGTTGAAGCAACGTTGGACGAGTGGATGCCGAGCTGCTCTGCCATCCGGCGCCAAGCCAACTTCTCATCAGACACCTTATCATAGCCACCGTTCGCACAGATGTGGGTGAAGGTCTTGTGGAGGTCGAGGTATACCGGTCCGACCTTGGGTTCAGCCTCTAGAGCCGTGCCGCGTTCCTGGTGGTAGGACTTCAGCTTGGTCATGAATTCCTCGTACTCGGGGGTTCGGCTGATAGCATGAAGCTCGACCTCAGCTTCTTTGGGCGCCATGATAGTTCAGTCGATCGAGCAGGCTGCTGTTTCCTTGTTAGTAGATGCGCACTTCGGATTGTCCGTTCTTGGTATGGCAAACTGACAGGCAGCCTGTGAGTACACTTGAGTTTGCTTGTCCAGGACCGTGGCAGGAACTGAGGCTCGAAGACGAGCTGTGAAACCCTTGCGCAGGACAAATGTGATGGAAAAGATCGCGCGAGATGCTAGATGCTGTAGAACGCGTTGCCAGCACCCAATGGAAGAGGGTGGGGGTGAAGTGTGCTCTTGCGCAAGTTCAGGGCCCTCTGCGATCGGTAGTGATGCGCCGGAGACAACTGACCAACCGTGTTCTGCCTTTACGCGACGTTGGAAAAATCCCCTGTCGCTGAATGCTTATCTCCACGTGACCAGGAGCTCTATCGGCTGGTCCCTGCACTAAGGTATGGAGATATCTACCTTAGCACCTTAGGTAAGGTACTAACAGTTGGATTCTAAATTGGATTACATTGGACCCACATTAGCTGCACACTTCCACCTGCACCTCAGGACATGGGTGGAAAGAGGCAGACCCCCTGCCCAGACTTTCACTCGATTGACTACCTTGCCAAGGTACCTACCTTACCCACCTGACTTCAATCACCACCGTATCTTGAGACCTGCAACTTTGTCCAACCCATCCTCGAGTTCTCACCTGTTGAGGGGGTTGTCCAGTAATCATTGCTTTCGCCTACCATATCAAACTTTCGACACATGTTCTCAGAACGCTGTCGCTAACTCGACATGCTATGTACCCCCGCCTTCTGTCACTAACACGACAGGTCTTTGTCGTCAGTGAGTCTATTGGCCCCGTTTTCTCGGGATAGTGACATACGCGAAGAACAGCCTTGCGGTATCCACGGTGATCAATCGCACGACTGTGTGTTTCGTTGAACATGCCGCCCAAAGGACAGAAACCTCAGAATTGGACCTTCACGCTGATCCATGCGGCAGTCTCTGAGAGGCGTCACCGTGAGAAGGACTGGCTATGCACATCTAATGTCGAAAATGCCGTCCTAAACTTGAAACAGGAGAAACTTCTTGCAGATGCTATGGGATCACGAGCCAGTGTTTACAAAGAGCCAAACCATGTTCTCATTGTACCGAGACAGGGAGCGCAGGCTGTAAGTCGCCCCAGGTCTTAGACAGGACGCCCATTGACAGGAAGAAGCTTAAGCTTGGGCTTGGCAGTCGAGACAGAATCATTCCCAAAGACGCCGAATACATGCTGGGCTACTGCCCCGGAACTAATATCCTAGTCATCAGAGAGAGCCTTCGCAGTGTACGTTTGTACTGTATACTCATTTCCGGCATAATTACTGACCTTTAACAGATCGATCAACAGATTCGTCTAAGATTCAAAAGCCAGAGTGACTTAGATCAGATACTAGGCCTCCTTCAAACCCTAGGCTTCCAGGCCAAGCCAATGCAAGCATCTCGACGTCAGCCAACCCCACTGCAGTACCTTCGATCTTCCTCGGTAGCGGGTGACTATCATGCCCCTGCTACGACCCAGCCCTACTCTTCGGGGTACAATGCGAGATTAACACAACATAAGTATCAACGTCGGTTGGGCTCGCCTATGAAGAGCCAATTCTTTCCGGAAGGAAGCCATCCAATACCTCGAGCCAACAGTGTAGCTGCGCAGACACACCGGCCTTCAACGTCCGGCAGTCAACGCGAAGTATCTATTCACCGATCCTCAGATGGATTCAGTACACCTCACACCCTCAACCGGGCTCGCACTGCCTTCACAGAGATGCCGAGTGAATACGCATCGCATACAACCCCGACGAATACAGAATACCTACCGACGGTCCCTACACCATCAACGACTTCCCGCCGGCGACCATCGGTTCGCTCACCGCCACTTCTGCAGCACTATAGCAACTGGAACATCGGTCCTTCAGCCGATGAAGCTGCTTTCGCCGAGTATGACAAACAAACGACAAGGCCTAGTTCTAGCACCCAATTCCAAGATATGCTTCCTCCCCGCCGTCACCTTCCGTTCCCAGTAGGAGCTCGGGTAGAAAAAGAGCTTCCGGAAGGAAATACTACGCAGTCTGGGATTTCGGAGCTCAATCAAGAGTCCCAGGGCGCGAGCAAAGAAGAAGAAGCTCTCAGACCTCCTACACCAGACACCGAAACTGCAGGACGCCCAGAAGCGGCAGAGCGAGACAAAGCGGCGCCAAAAACCAGGATTAATTTCATCAAGAGGAACAATGCCGATTCAATTGACAACTCGACTTCCAAGAAGCAAAAGTATCTCCCCCAAACAAAACGGATTTCCACGTCGCCGATCCTGCCGCCAAATATCCCGTCTGCACATTTCCAACGCAGAACCATATCTCGGGCCCCAGGCCTGGTTATCGAACAAGAGGAAAGGCGTTTGGGAGAAGTTATGGAGAAAAGCGGCATCAACGACGGAAAAACGGGTGTTACAGCTTCTGCATCAGTGAGCATGACGAAACCAGCGGAAATCGACATCCTGAGACGGGCCCGAGGTGCAATTGAGATGTGTTCATCTGATGCGGATATGCGCTCCAAGATGTCAGTAGAAGAGGGTGATTCAGATCCGCCATCTCGCGCCGCGGTACCAGTACAGCACACAGAAAGGACCGACACCGGCATTACTATGCCGCGGCCGTCATTGACGAGAATAGATAATGGCACACAGACTGAGCCTGTTCCCTGCAGCTCCTCCGAGAAGGAGGAAGCACTGTTCGTCGCAAAATTCAAATTGATGTGGGAAATCAGAGATTTACACCAAACATCTTTCCACGGTTTGCTCGACACTGCTGAGCCAAATCATCGCATAGACGAAAAGAAAACCTTGGAGGAGCTGGAGCAGAATGTTATTGATCTATGCCAAGTCGCGATTGACCGTTACGGCCCTGAAGTGGGCGATTTACCTTACGAGAAGCTCCTGAAAGCTATCATGGTTCCGGGGAATTGAGCTGAGTGCGATATTTTGGGAGACAAGATTACATCGCAGGGAGCGACTGACTATACTACAGAAGACTTTTGAGCGGGTTGAGATAATGGCATAGGGTGCACATATGAAGCACGCTATGAATGAGATTCGGGTAGTTCTACTGAATCATGGAACAACCCAAACTAATGAGAGTGGTTTATTTCCCAGTGGTATAATTATTAATGAGAATGATGGTCATCGCAACAGTATCCAGTGCATAGCAATCCTTCTCCTCCGCATCCTGCAATACACCCAATGAGTCCTCTAGACTCACGCAAGAGCTGCAACCTCTGACGCCAGCCTCTGAATCTTCACTGCCTACGTAAGATAGAATCGCTAACCTTAGGCTGAAGGGGGTACGAAGATGCGAATGATCCATTTGTCGTCCTTCTTGTAGCTAGACAAGCTCGGTCTCGCGACGGGCACGTCGTTTGCGGTGGAGAATTCTGTGTCGGAGTAGGGGAACTCGACGTGAGTGATGGCGTGATCATCTCCGCCATCCCAGGTGTTACTAACGGTGTGTTCCACAATGGAGACATCATCGGACTGAGCAGGGGAAAGAGGCGGCAACATGAGGTTTTCCTCTACGTTCTCAACAAGAATCTCGCCGCTGAAGAGAGGGGTGACGGTCTCGTTGTCGTCGAAGGCGAACTCATCGTCTGCAGAGTAGCCGCTGTCCGGAGAGTCGATGGAGATGATACCAGAGCCCTCGGAAGAATACGTGGAAGACCGGCGAGAACTCCAGGAGCGAGGCCTGCGGTACTTGGTATTGGACTGGGGGGAGGAGACGGAAACGTCCTTGGGGGCCAGGCCCCAGTCTCGACGACGCTTGGCTCGTTGTTGAGGCAGATCCGTGTTGGAGGACGAGGCGCTATAACAGCAGTGGCGGAAGTGTCCTTGGTGGTACTCTCGAGAGCGGATTTGTTCAAGGTCAAGCGACTGGAATTCATTGTATATTCTTGGGACTTTGATCCGAGAGTGTAATGGTAAGGGATCGTCGTTGCTGGTAGCTGGTGTCTTGTGTAAGTGAGGTGAGGTGAATATGGTGTAGCAAGTTGTGTTCACTAGAGTGCGTATGCTCTTGTCTTGAGACAGAAATCCACTCTATTAGTGTTTGTCAGATAGAAATTTTGGAAAGAATGCCGCAATGGATGAGAGAAGAGCTGCCTTTTTATGCCCACCCCGTCCAGTTCCCAGCATCAGGGCTGAGGGAGAGAGGTGATTCACGTACCGGGAGAATAAATGGGTTAAAGTTGCAAGTCATCATGGTGCGCGCAGCGTCTGGCTATCGGAGAAAGGTGGCTGTGGTGCCAGACTCGCTGGTTTCAAGTGATGGTTTAAAGCTCTCATGGTTCAGGCCAGAGACTTCCATCACGGTAACGGCTCCCGGCACCGCAGAATGAGGGGGCCACCGTGACTCATTTGAGATCGATCCATGAATGTTGGTCCACCTGAGCTCGTGAATCCCACGGCTGTCTATACGCAACATGCTGCCATCTACATCTAGTCGTGGCAAAGTGAAGCCCCGGGAATATACCGTGGGCCGTAGGTGAGATGGGACATGGCGTGAACCAGGGAGGATACCGGGCATCTGGAAACATGTTGGCTGACTACGTACAGAATTGGCATAGCGGACAGCAAGGCCCTCGGAGCATGACCATAGACAGATCTCAGACTCGCTGTTCACAGATTACAAATTATAATGCTTGCTGAAACCAAGATACCCATAGCCTCAAAGAGACCCTCAGATAATCTTTAATCCTCATTGTATGTAGCATCGTTTATCCAAAGCTGACCACTGGCTTGTCTCAGATGACGGCGTGTTCATCCCGGTCACGGCGTCCCTACTCGAGGATCATCTTGCCCCCTAGCCCTAACTTCTTTTCGCATACACAAAGAAGGATGACGTGAAGCAGAGTCAGGAACAGAGGGATTATGGGTAAGATCCCTCATCAAAACCCGACGACAACGTCACCATATCTCATGAGACAGCGGGATTATTAGGGACGCAGAGCCTGAATTCTCTCCTTCCCGATCAAGTAAGGAACGCTAAGGATATCAAGCCCGACGAAAAGTCCATCTCCCTTCCATGCCCAATACTTTTTGGTTGATTCTAACGTACAACTCTTTGCCCAAAGTCGCTCAAGCAAACCCAAAGCCCTGCGCGTTCTCCAATGCCATGGACAGCCTCTCTCTTAGGACATCTTTATCTTTGTACTCTGGCAGCAAAAGCGTACCGTAACATGTGTATGCGGTGGGCAGGTGTCCACCTTCGCCCTCCTCTTCGCCGTTTCGTTGCACAACAAATTGGAGATTCTTCATGCCACCGACAGGCACACGGTCCGATGCGGTAACAAATTCCAGAAGCCGTCTCTTCATTTTCTCGTCATAGCGCTTGACGATCGACCAGAAGTCGCGTACGCCGCGGTGGCTCGCGTCCCAGCCGACATATCTGGTGTATCTGCGCAGCTCAGAAATGTCAATCTCCTGAACACCTTCTACCAGTGATTGAAGGAGTGGCGGAGTTAGAAGGTGAAGTGCCTTGGGATGTAAGCAAGCTCGGAATCCATGCTCAAATGCTTCGTACTGCGGGCGAACAGAAACATCCGTCAGATACTTGATGTAGTCGCTGACGTACGCATTCCTGTTTTCATTGGTGACGAGCGGAGCATCCTCGGGATTCCCATCCACCAGCGACGTCTTAGCAGTCGCTTCGAATTGTGGCCAGCTGTGACCTTTTCCATCCATCTCGCGAGAAATAGGCTGCCCAAACATTGACACGGAGAATTCGTATGTGCGTGCGAAGACTTCTTCGACCAACCCCTGGCTCTCGTCCCACTCAAGTAGAGTCGTTAGTCCTATCGCGAGGTCTGGCCACCCGTCGGCAATGTGGTGCAGCTCATCCACAGGCTCACCCAAGAGCTTGCGGTAAAGCGCCTTGGGGAATGTGATGGGTAGCGTTAGGCCATTGTAAACAGCCAACGAAACCAAGAGGCCGAGGATCTCAAACTTCCAGGCCGGTACCACGGAGCCGGGAACGAACCAGGTCATACGGGTTCGGTCATCGACCGTGAAGGCACCATGATCGGAGTTGAGGCACTCAGCAACAGCAAGTCGGAAGAACTCCTGCTGAACTCCACCTGAATCGAAACCCTCTTCGCCAGCTTCCTCGCCAAGATGAATCTTTAGCGGTCTGTGCAATTCTCGGGCTTCCCGCCGCCAAAGTTGATCGAATGCATCCCTGATAACGTTCTTACGACTAATCTCGAGGATCAAATATTTCGAAGAAGCTGTTTTAAGAAGGTCCTGTAGAACAAGTTTGTGATGAGGATTGGTAATGAGGCCGCCAGGAGCAACAATTGCCTTCATCCGTGTTTGGAGCGAGCTCGATTCCTCATAGCTTCGACTCATCTTTGAGAAGTTGATGGATCGGAAGTAAGAAACTAAAGTAGATGGATCGAATATGAAGGGGAAGTCCAAAAGATGCTTCTTTTGTCTAGAAGAAGTGTGAGTGAGCCAAGCGACAGGCATGTTGATCGAGTCCAGCCTCTCGGCAAAGTAGTCCACGCGGAATTGAATGTCTCCAAGAAGTAGATCTTGCCGTTTCTCGTCTAATACAATGGTAAGCTGGAAGAAAGGTCTCATGGGTAGCGATTCAATGACTTACACATAGCAGCAATCAGTGAGAGCGCTCCACCGAAAGAGCTATCATATGAAATTTCAGGCTGACCATCCCATTGTTGGAGCATGACTGTCTTGGCCCAGTCTAGAAGTAGAGTGGAAACCCTCGACTCATGACCAGCTCGCTCGAGATGTCCCACCTCGGGGCTGGAAGATGAGTACGAGTTCAGTAAGTCGAGCTGGGAAAGAAGTGGCCGAAGGGCATCGAATTCCTCTTTATTGTCCTCGAGGTCGTCGTCTTGTGCGGCCATGTCTGCAAAACACTTCCGTGCGGATATGGCTGCGAACAATCGTCTCGCCAGTCTCAGAGCCAGATCATTTGAAAAGGCATCATCGTAGAGAAGGCAGAGCCAAGCCGGTTGCCGCGCCAGAGCACCGCTTCCAGCCAGAGTCAATCCGTTTGAACGGATCCGTGACATATCAAACAGAATTCTAGAATCAGTGATCAATGGGGCCGCGGCCACTAAAGCGTGGAGACATATTGACAACAGCTGGCCTGCCTCGATATTTGCAATGGATCGATTGGTCCGGCGGAATACCCTGGTAGTGGGGGAGCGAAGGGATTGCAGTGATTTGGGTGCTCCAAAAAGGCTTCCGGCGGCCATCCACAAACTGTGAAAAACGAGGCTCGGAGCTACTCGAGTGAGCCTCAGCATGCAGTACCAAATGGTGTGAGAATCAAGCAACTCGTCGTCCTTGACAAAGGATGCGACCAAGCTGACGGGATCACTCAAGATATTGAACAAGCTTTGCTCAATAAAAAGCTTCCACTGTCTCCGGAGTCTCTTTGGGTAGGTGCCTCGGGAGATGTGTTTCCTCTGCATTTTGGAAGTTCGGTCCTTAAGTGTGGTGTATGTGCTAGTAATCTTGGAGGGGTCAAGAAGGTGAGACTCTGATGTCCCGTCATCCTGAAGGATGTCACACACAAGATCAACTACCTCCACATTGAGGACTGTCAATGATTGTGGAAGCAAGCTGTCAGCAATTGAGACCTCCAACGGGTCTTGACTCTGTTTGGTATCCTCTGTGGGCAGCACAACCCGCAAAGGCTGAGCTTCTGAGGCTGGCTCGTGCAAAGTGGGAACCTCTGCTGGTTCTCGCGGTTTACTATTGGCGTGGTTTGTGTTGGAAATTGACTCTGACTCTTGAACAATTGTGACCTTATGGTTTTGAGGCGGTACGTTATCAAAGAATGAAGGTGTCGAAGGTATTTCTGGAATGGCGTAAGGATTCACATGGGACGCTTTTGGTGGTCTCAGTGGCTTTTCGTGCGCTCCTCCATTCAACCTCGGGGAAGATAGCCCGGACGCGACGTCTTCCGGCAATGAAGATGTCGGGTATGGCTCGATGGAGAGTTTCCTAGTCGGCTTGGAGTTTGCCCGCACTCTGGTGCTAGAGCTCCTCTTAGGTTTGTTAAGCCGTGTGTTGGGTACTGTCGCACTTGAACTGTGAAGCGTCTGTGACCCTTGAGCGAGCACTGCATCCGGTCCTTGGTCTGTGGTCGAATGAGGAAGTTCACCCAGCTCTTTTCTATCTGCATGCGTCACGGGAGGTGTTGACTGCAAAGGAATCGACGGGCCCGAGGCGTTTTGCGATCTTTGCGGTTTTTCTTTGGAGGGACTTTGTGTTGACTCTGCTTCTAGCGTAGCGACTTTTTGGGACATGGCATCCAGGCCAGCTGGAGTGAGCCATTCCAGCATCTTGAAGGCGACAGTCCCAAACACATTGGCTGCGAATGAACGGTAATCCTTGCTGATAGGTCGTTCGGCGACTTTGAATGTAGGGTGTGCGGTGCCTGTTGCCGCATCAAAGTGCGAGCGTTCATTCGGCAAAGATGTTGCTCGATGACCGATTTCCTCAGCACCCGGAGCAGGCCTCTGGAAACCCCCAGTTTCGCCATTTGTCCTGTCACCCGACCCTGACTTCCGCCGCCTGCTATCCACTGGTGTACCCGATCGCTTCGAAAAAGGGTCGCTGAATGCTGGAGGCGCTGGGTTGGATGAAAATATGAGCGAGCTCAGGGCGGCTGGTGCTTCTTTCGAGGGCTTAAGGTAGGGACAGAGCCCGGTCTCTGGATTATCCTGGCTGGCCAGGTACACTGCCAAGGTTCTTGCGCTCGTGATGTTGTATCTGCGTATTGGTGCTTTACCAGCAAGGCGCTTGCGACAGGAAAAGCACGTCGAGGTTGTACATGACTTGGAGTCACATCCATACCGTAGCTGAAGGATGTATCTGTTAAGGGGCTCATTAGTACGTTGGACACATGGCGGAGGTTGGTAGATTGTCGGAGACGAACGTTTCTACGAGGATCTGAAAGTTATGTCGGCGGCTTGCGCGGTGGATGGCGTAGACGCGCTTCGGGTTCTCGATGATCTGGACCATGTCCTTCAGTTCGGCCGGCGCATCAGAGGGCAGACGCGCAAGAGGCGCATCTTCCCAGAGACCGGCTAGAAGGTCAGCATCGAGGCTGGCCTCGGTCTGAGGGCCCTTCTCAGGGCGACGAACGTCTCGAGTCATGTCATGCGGATCGCAGGAGTTCTGGGGTATCTGAGGTCGAAGTTGGAAGAGGTAGCTCGTGGTGTGGAGGAAGAGTAATTGCGTGCGGCAGGGAGCGGCTAGCGAGGAGATGAGTCGAACAGAATAAGGAGGAACAGGAAGGCAGGGGCCGCTTCGTTGTCGTTGACGTCTAGTGGTACACGGATATTAGAACCACCAGATAACAGCTGGTGCAAGTAGAGATATGTTGGCGATGAATGAACAGTCTTCACCCGATGACGGGCGGCGGGTATGGCAAGCAGGCGGATTAGTCTCCCAGTCGTCAGTGCTGGAGGAGGAGCTGGGCACCGTACAGCCACGCCGCCACCAGGCTCGGCGATGACACGGTGCGATTCGACGAAAACGGGACACGGCTTCCGGGTCCCTGCTGGAAGAGTGGACCCGGGAGCACGGGGGCAGGCAATGAGGACATGGAGGATTCCGCGGAAGGTCCCAATTTAGCATCCGAAATTCCACTGCAAGACGTAAGTTGGGATCAAAGGACGAACCAGGGCAGGGTACCTCGTGGTGTTTCTGACATCAGCCGCAAGGTTGCCGTCTTCAGACACCTATTCCAGTCTCGGCATGGTCGGCGGTTTATGCCTCCGACATTTTTTTACGTATTTTCTTTTTTCCTTTTTTTAAGCCCCCAGCAGAGGTGCTCGCGCCTCCGCCCAGTCGATCCGCTCGAACCCCTCCATCGTTGTTAATGACGGGCCGATGTTGTGCAGACAGCGAAACGGCGAATTAGTCAATCGAGTTTCCATGCAGTAACTTATTACTGAGTGTAGCAACGAGGATTCTTTCAATAATAGCGTGGATGTAATGCAAGTTTGGGTCTATTCACCAGGCTGCTTACTTCAACATCATCAGTATGCCCTCTGGATAAGGCCTTTTCTAATGTTTGTCGGGCTCCAAGTTTGTTGTTGTTATCGTTGATCAAGATGCCCAAAATGAGACTTGCAGGTTGTATTTTGAGGCGAAAGCCCAAGCGTCCGCGGACCCCCTCCAAACACGAAATACGAAAAGAAATATTCGTTCTACAAACAAAAAGGCGCGGAACGGCACTTGTTCCTCAAAGAGTGACAAGTAGACTTGGTGCTTGACAGTTTGCCCCCTTCCTTGATATGTCAGCCGTCGAGACAGAAGACAGAAGTCAAAAAGAAAGGGTCACCAAGTCCGGCGCCTCGGGAGGGACATAGGCCCCCACTTGACAGTGCCGCTTCTGCCAGGAACATGCTAAGGTAACTCTTGAGGCTTCCCAGTGGTACAACTTCTAAAGGACAGTCCAGCCCAAGGGCCCTAGACTGCAAGTGACGTGCCTATCACGTCCCTCCAAACCCCCGCCTAACCCACTAAAGCCCTTGCGAATTTTCCCTTTTAAATTCATTTTCCCCTCCATCCGCCAGACTTTGACGCACTGCACAAGAGGGACGCCCGTCTTTTGCCTCATTCACTTCCCTCTCTTTTCGCATCCTGCAAATTTACGTTTGCGCGCAACTCAACTCCCTATCACAAACAATCAACCACATATCCAAGCGACTTTGGAGACAAAAACCAAGCAAAACCCACCACTTTCGCACACGACATTCACCATGGCGAGCGTCGATGTTGCTGCCCTCGGCGCCGTTCCTGCAAATGGAGGGGCAACGGCGGCTTCCCACCCCTACACCTGCAACACCTGCTCGGTTGCCTACCGAAACATAGATCTTCAACGAGGCCACATGAAGAGCGACTGGCAGTACGTAACTTTAACTCTCCTCCTTCTCAAAATCGTTTCCTCTGTTTTCTAGGCTCGACTTGTCGTCTTGTTTCCGCTGTGTTTCGCTCAGACCGACTGACATCATCTCCCTAGCCGATACAACCTCAAGCGAAGAGTCGCCTCCCTCCCTCCTATCGCCTCCGAGGTCTTCAACGAAAAGGTCCTTCAGGCTCGCGCCGTTCAGACAGCCGAGGCAGAGAAGGCTTTGTTCGAGCGCACCTGCGACGCCTGCCAAAAGTCGTACTCCAGCGAGAACGCTTACCAGAACCACTTGACGAGCCAGAAGCACAAAGTCCGTGTCGCTGCTATTGCTAGACGCAAGGGTGGTGTTGCCGATGACGCCAGCTCTGTCATGAGCTCCACCTTCTCTCTTGGTGAGCCTATTGCTGTCGACAAGGAGAGCGAGCTGGATTCCGAGGCCGAGGAGGAATTTACTCAGGTCGTAGAGGGGCTCAAGAAGGCCAACATCCACGAGTCCCATGACGGGCGCCCATCACCCGTCAAGCGCCCTTCCAATCCTCACCTCTCTGCTCAAGGCCAGCGTGACGACATTTCCATGAACCGCGAATCCGACTCTGCAACCCCCGTGCAGTCCAAGCCAGAGATCGCCTGGACCATCAAGTCCTGCCTCTTCTGCAACTACGAGTCGCCTAGCGTTACGCTCAACGCCAACCACATGGAGCGGTTCCATGACATGTTCATTCCTGAGAAGCAGTACCTTGTTGACCTGGACGGCTTGCTGCAGCATCTGCAGGAGCGCGTTCACGATGGTCACCAGTGCCTGTACTGCTTCAAGACCAAGAAAACGGCATTTGCTGTCCAGACCCACATGCGTGACAAGGGCCACTGCAAGATCCCCTACGATACCGAAGAAGTTCAGCTGGACATTGGCGACTTCTATGACTTCCGCAGCACCTACTCTGATGGCGAGGAGTCCGACGAGGAGGAGGAGACTGACGAGAATGGTGGAGCCAAGCTGGGTCTGAAGCGCCCTACCAAGCTATTTGGCGAGGACGGCGAGGAGGTCGAGGAGGGGGCAGACGATGGTTGGGAGACGGACAGTTCGGCATCGTCCTTGGACTCGGAAGAATTGACGGCCTTCACTGCTGACGGCAAGTACGAACAGTTCGAGCGCCTGGACAAGCACCCCCATCACTCTCGCGACGACCCGCGTGCCCGCCACCAGGCCGATGGCTGGCACTCCCATGCCCACAAGCACACCCGTGCTGTCTTTTACGACGAGTATGAACTGCATTTGCCTTCTGGCAAGGCAGTTGGTCACCGCTCTCACAACCGATACTTCAGACAGAACCTCCACAACTACCCTACCGAAGAGGAGCGCGCCGAGCGTTTGGCCATTGAGGCTGGCTCTGGCGATGAGATGGATGTTGATGGTAGAGAGGTCACCACCACCGGCGATCGCAAGACTCGCAACAACCGTGCCGTCGCTCGCAGAGATGCTGCAGGCATGGCCGGTGCAACGGATAAGCAGAAGCGCGTTGTGAGACAGGAAGAGGTCAGAGGCCGGAGCAACGCCACCCGTCACCAGAAGCGCTACGACTACGGAGTCAGCGAGAAGTTGAACAACCAGAAAACTTTCTACTACCGCTACCAGGCCGGTGGTTGATCAACTCGCCTGTCGGTGCTGGATGATCAAGGCGTTGGGCGGATTGATTTTGTATCTTGCTAAATTACATCGAACCTTCAAAGGAACTGGCATGCATGATGAAGCTTTGACGAACCATGCATAGGAAAGGTAGACTTAAAATAGAGTCTATTATTGCCACAAGGTTGCAGTGACTGTGAACTGAGGTGATGTGAAGTGCTATAACTAAGCACCTATTGTGGTGGTGGTCGTTGGGCCCGGGGTTTTGCTCAAAGCTATGCATCCAACGAAACGTCTCTATTCACTTATTGCATTACCCGAGGCAAACCCGGATCTTTACCCAAGCTCCATCATCTCCTGAACTTGCTCATCCACAATGTGTATTTCAACATTAGTGACAATGAATGTCAAATTTTTAGACTAACATTTTGGTCTCACGTTTTGCCTATGACATGTTCAAAAATATTTACAACTGTCGTGCCCTCGCTCAGCGGCCGCGTCTTACGTCACAAAGATGGATGAGTAGCAGGCCGACTTACAACTCGTGGCACCCCCAACCGGACGCTGACGGATGGTACGATGGACGGAAACACCCGAGACGACTAGAAGATTTCGACAGCGGGAAGACTCGCCCAAGAGAGGACCAGCGCAGCCGGGGCGCCAGGCCTCCAACGCCTCCGCTTCCCCGGTCAGTTGCACCCATTAGACGGACCGACGACTTCAACTCAAGAAGCTCCAGGGTCGTGCCCCGGGACGATCGTGGGCGGGATGAGAGGTTTTCAACGTCACTACCGAGAAGGAGCCCTCCCCGGCCGAGGAGGTTGTCTAGGGACGTCCCCCAGGTACCCAAGAGGAAGGGAGGTGGTTTTGTACTGATGGTGAGTGAGGCAACATGAATTCCTCCAGAGGGGAAAAAACTTCGTTTTTGCAAAGCCTGTACTGATTGCCCGTCAGCCAAAACTATCTCAAGAGGAACTGGACAAGATCAGCAACCCCAACGACGTCTGGGAAGCCAGGTCACTCTATTTCGTTCCGCCAAAGAGGTCAAAGGAACATCAGCAACCCATACAACTACCCAAACCGCTAAAACCTGAGCCGCGTCGAAGAGACCGCGACGCCGGCATCGCCAGCGCAGACTCCATCAAGGCAGCGATCCAAGCCCCAGCAAAAACCCGCGCGAAGCAGCCCCGGCCCCCGCCCCCGCCAGAGATCGAGCTCGAGGGCGACGGCGGCACAATCGTCGCGGACCCCGTCAACGACCTCCCGCACGCCCTCGCCGCCAAGTTCTTCCTCTCCCCGCCCGCGACCTTTCTCTACTCGGCCTTCCGCCTCAAGCACCACCCCATCAACACTACGACGCCCGAAATCTGCGTTGTCGGCGCCAGCAACTGCGGCAAGTCGTCATTCATCAACGCGCTCACCGGCGCGGCGTCGCTCGCCAAGGTCAGCGACCGCGCGGGCAAGACCGTCTCCATGAACGCGTACGGCGTGGGACCGCTGACGGGCCTTCCGTTTCGGAAACCTGTGGCCTCCACCGCTGCCTCCTCGGGCGCAGGCGGCGGCGTCGTCACAAAGGAAGAGAAGCCGGAGCACGGCATCATTCTCGTCGACACGCCAGGGTACGGCTACGCCTCGCACGAGGAGTGGGGTCACGAGATCGTCGAGTATATCAACAAGCGCACCATGCTCCGCGGCATCGTCCTCCTCTTGTCATCCGAAAAGAAAGTGTCGGAAAAGGACGCGCAGATTGTCAAGCTCCTCGCCGACGCGGGGCGGCCCGTCATGCTGGTGTTTACAAAGATGGATAAGGCCCTCTCCCGTAAGGCGCGCGAGGAGGGCGGCATCGCGCAGCGGCTGCGGGAGGCGGAGCGGTGCTTCGCGCGGACGGGGTGGAGCGGGTGGGTAAGGCGGGTGTACATCACGGCGGCGGGGATGGAGCGCGACAAGAGCTGGAAGGTTGACGGGACGAGGAGTGCGGCGGGGATGGCGGGCGTCCGGATGGGGGTTCTCGAGCTTGCAGGGGTGAGGGAGTTCGTCGCGCCTGAGAGGGTCAAGATGTTGGCCGCTCAGCAAAAGTCATCACAAAAGTCGCAAAAGGTCCAGGAGGGCGGCGGGGCGGGTGAGGATGAGAAGAGGCTGGAGCCGGGCAAGGCTTTGGAGAGCGATCCGGCGGCGTGGTCTGGGGATGTGGTTTCGTTTGAGGAGCTGGAGAAGAAGTTTGGGGACTGGACTTCTTGAGAGGGGGCGAGGTTTTGTACAACCATGTTGTAGGATAATGTGTTTGATTGTTCAAAGAAAACAGATACCCTCTAGAGAAATGCAACTCACCGTAAGGCATGTCCAGATGTACGTATACACGAAGTGGGGAGAAGGGTGGGTTTTGCGATGACAACGGGTGAGGGAGTTCACTCGTAAGTGGACGCGTGCAAAAAACTGCAGGAAACCCCAACCATAAACCAACGCTTCAGACAAATTCCATCAGATGGGTATTAGCTAAGATAAATTGCAAGCAGTCCTTCGTTAACCATGAGACATCCTTCAAGAACTCCTCGTGTCCTCCGTCCCAGTATGAAACTTCAAGTGAGTTGCACAGCAAATAGTGCAGACCAGTTAGCCATAATTATTCCTTATCCTTCTCCTTATCCTCTCCTGCGCCCGAGACCGTCGAACGCGCCGTGCCCGGTCTACTAAGCTGCCGACGAATCTTCTTCGCATTTTTCGACTCGAATAAACTCTTCACCCTCCTCAAACGAGCCCAGCGCTCCTTGTCCTTCGCTTCCCTCAACTTTTCGTCATCGTCGGCTGCTAGCTCGGTAGCAGCGCTCGGTAAGTCATAACCCCCTGGTGTCGAGGGCGTCGCAACACCTCTACGAACCGGCGTCGAAGGTACCGAGGCGCCTCTGTTATGCCACGTGGACCTGTTCTTCGGCCGGTCCTCGAGCGCTCCGCGTAGGTAGGCGTCGTTCTTCAGGACCTGTGCCAAGCACTTCCAAGCCGCCATGTTCGCCTCTGACCCGGGCTTCGCGCTACCTAGGCGTTGCGCCACGGGATTCTTCCAGGGACAGAAGAAGCGGTGCTCCTTGACTGGATCGAGGTGGTCCATTGGCGCAGGGACGAGTATCTCGCCGTCGGCGCTGACCTCCTTACTCTTGAACATCCATAGGCCCAGACGTCGTAAGCATGTGTGGCAGGATGCCGAATTTGGCACTGCGCCAATACGGGGGTTCGTGAGGCCCTGCCAACCCATCATTGCCAGGGTCAAAGCGACTCTGTTTGGTTCCTTTGGATCCGGAGAGTCCTTGGATGGTGGTGGGCTTGTAAAGAAGTCTTCAGGTAATTGGTTCAGCACGCTGTCGATGTTGAGACCCTCTGGAAGCCTCAAGTTGAACTCGTAGGGGAGAAAAGGTTTCCTTGCACAGAGCTCATCGTAGCGTGTTCGTAATGCCTCCATACTTATCTTGGCATTGGTTAGAGATAGCCGGAGGAGCGAATCTGGAGAAGTTAGCCTTCATTCTCATCAGCAGGGTCTGTAGAAACTCACTATCGCACCCCTGTTTTCTCCATAAACATTCCTCCAGGTGTGCCGTGACAACAAGATCCGAGTACCTATCTATCAGCGCTTCCTCTGCTTCACCAATCAGTTCTGAGTAGCAGTGAGGACCGGCAACCATGAACCTACCGACGTCCGACGCCACAAGGACGGGTACCTCCTTGCCGTCAACTTCGCGTTTATTCAGCTTCACAACGAGCTCCTTATTGCAGAGTGTACACCGTACACGATCCTTCCCCTGGCATACCCATCCTCTCTTCGCCCATTCGACTTCGTTCACCGCGTCAGGCTTAGGAGTCCAGTCCGTGATCTCTTGGAACGATGCTAGCCGCTTGAGAAGCTCGTTCCGGTCGCTGGGTGCAAACTTCGGAGCGTGCTTTACTTCCGTCACATTGGCAGACCTAGGAACCCATTTCTTCAGCGACACGTGCGAGAAGGTCGTCGCTGCACCCCCTCCCGTGGCACGGATCGAGGGTGAACTGTTGATCGTAGCGGCATTCTTCTCCGTCAGCGCTTGCAGACGCCGGCGCTTCAACAAGATGTCTTCTTCAATCGACATGCTCGGTTTGGTAGAGGTGTCGGTCGTTGTGTTCGTGTTTGTAGAGTTCGTGTTGAAGGGCTGGAGAGAAGTCGTCGACGGGCGAGGAGATTCGGCAGGCAAGCTCGTGGAGTCGTTTGATTTGGTAGAGGCGGAGGATCGGCCCATACCCTGGATGAGGGCATTGAACTTTCGTTTGGTAGCATTCATTGTCGTTGCGTGTTTCGATGGAACCAGGGTGGCGGATGTACAAGAGATGTCTGATCTGACCTGATCCCAGGCGCGAAGATCAAAGGACCGGGGCAAGGACGGCAACACAGAAGGTCGGTCGGTCGGTCGAGTGTCTGATGAAAGATCGAGTTCGGTTGTTTGAAAAGGCTTTCACTCAGATTCCTTCGTCAATGGCGGTACGGTGCACCATAAGACGGATTTCCCAGGAACAGGATGGCGCTTGGTCGCTAGTCGAAGGGTAGGCGCCCAGCTCTGCGAAAGTCAACAAACGGGAAGTCGCTGGTCGGGCAATGAGCTGGCAACCCCTGTCGCATGTATGCATTTACTAAGGTACGAGGCGTGGCATCGGGTTGTCTTTGATGGCTTAGATGCATAAACAGCTTTATTGAAAAATCTTCCGATAAGATAAGAATTGGTCGCAAAGAGGAAGAAAAAAAAGTCGCGAGCAGGGATCCTGGCACTAAAATTTTGGAGCCACCGACCCGCCGGTGCTGCGATCCCACAGAAATTTTCCCAGGTGAAGAACCAAGGCGACTTTGTCTTCACCGAGGAATTTGCTATCCCCCTGCTCTTGCCAACTTGCTTCATTTCTTGCCATTGCGACGGTCAAAGGCCCACCTTCTGGCCCAATACACATGTCTGAACCTCCATCTTGGTTATTCTCGAACAACTTCACAAAGGCCAACAACCCGAGCACGTCTAAGGCTTCCGCGACAATTCAAACAGACAAGATGGCCAAGGTCAAGAAGGAAAAGAAGTCCGAGAAGCAGGTCAAGGCCGAGCCCGCCTCTACCAAGCAGGCTCCCCCCGCCCAATTGATGGACCTCGTCGACTCCTTCCTCTCCGAGAACGCCTTCACTTCCGCCCACGAGGCCTTCCAGAAGCAGCGCGCTAAGAGCGGCTGGAAGCCCTCCGAGAAGGAAGCGGCAAAACCCGACCTCGTCACCGTATTCCAGACCTGGCAGACTTCTTCCAACGGCCCGGCCAGCAGCTCTAGCGATAGCAGCTCTAGCGATAGCAAAAGCGAGGACGTGGACATGGCCGATGCGGCTGCCGCCGATAGTGATAGCGATAGCGACAGCAGCTCGACCTCCAGCTCCAGCTCTAGCTCTGACTCCGACTCTGATTCCAGCAGCGACAGCGAGAGCGAAGACGAGAAGCCCAAGCCCAAGCAGGGCCTGAAGCGCAAGGCGCCTGAGTCGGACAGCAGCAGCAGTGATAGCAGCAGCAGCAGCGACAGCGATTCTTCTTCTGACGACTCCAGCTCTGAAGACGAGGCCCCCAAGGCCAAGAAGCAAAGAGTCAAGAAGGAGGACAACAGCTCCTCATCCGACTCCTCGTCCGACTCCAGCTCGGACAGTTCCAGCGAATCTGACTCCTCTGATTCCTCTGACTCAGACTCTTCCGACAGCGACTCCGACACTGACGGTTCCGAGGCCGCAAAGGTCCCTCTTCCCGAATCCGGCTCCGACTCCGATTCCGACTCCTCCTCTTCTTCGTCCGATTCGGATTCCGACTCAGATGAAGACACCAAGAAGAAGGTGAAGAAGCAGAAGGCATCGGCCGACAGCGCCTCCAACTCCTCCGCAACCCTCGAGAAGACGTCCCCTGAGCTCAAGCCCGAGACCGCCACGGCCGCCGACCCGCCTCTGCCCCCCGATCCCATGAGCTACCGCGCCAACAACCGCGGCGGCAAGAACGCAAACGGAAAGGAGAAGAAGGTGCCCAACAAGCCCTTCTCCCGCATTCCTGACGTTGTCCACGTCGACCCCAGATTCGCGAGCAACGAGTACGTGCCCAACGACTACTCGCAGCGCGCCCACGAGGACCTGATCGTCACCAAGGGCAAGGGCTTCACCAAGGAGAAGAACAAGAAGAAGCGCGGCAGCTACCGCGGCGGCTTGATTGACATCACCAGCAAGAAGGGCATCAAGTTTGACTGAGGTCGCTACAGCCCGTTTCTTGATGTGTACCCACCTGTTCGGTTCTTGGAGTTTTGGAATCCCGAAAAAATTGCAACTCCCGTGTCCTGGTTTTGGTGAAGACAAAAAAAAAGGGGGAGGCAGGGACCCGGTTCAACTTTGGCATTGCGTTTCTTAGCCTAAGCATTACGGTTCTTTTCTTTTTTTTTTTTTTTTTTTAGAAGAGGGGAAAGAAGATAATGTGCTTCGTATGCGGCATATTCACTAGACTCGGTATCAGCTCCCGTGCAACGTTGCCGTGTAGATAGAAATGAAACGTTTTCACATCTTCAACGTCCTCTTATGAGTCTTCTCCTCCGTAACCCCCCTCGGGATTAAACCGCTTCTGCAAGCAATCGGGGGGTGTAATGAGTGATGGAGGTCCTGGAAGAACCCAGTCAAAGGCACCCCCGGCTACTTCAATGTGATGTACACCTTTAGGTACCTTTATCGTATAAACAGACCTTGTTTAACAATGTCGGACCGGCAAAGTTCACCCTCCGAGATCAGGCTGAGATGGGTGACACAGAGTGCCAAGGCTACAGCCTGATCGATACTAGCAATCGGCCGCCATCAATTCTCTCAACGTCGAGGCATAGGCTATCGGGGATCTTCTCAACATTGGCACGGAGCCTTAAAATCTCCCCAAGCGTCCCCATGCTGGCAATTGAACTCTAAGACAGGCTGTTCGTTGTCGGGATAAGGAATAGAAAAGGGGTGCGACACGGGAGAGAGACGGGAGGAACGAATGGGGGGTGGGACGGTCGAGAGTGAGAAACAGGGGGACGTACTCACGATAGCTGGGAAGACCGGGCAGAGCTTTCGCGAAGGAAGAGGTCCCGGGGACGTTGGGTGGGCTGCGCGGGGGGTACAATTCGTAGCCAGGCAGGCTCTGTAGATCGTTCGATTAGAGTGGGAGGGGGAGGGGAAGGGAGAGGGGGGTTGGCCCACCGCTAACTAGTAACCTTAAAAGCCTAATTCTGATGGATAAATTCACCTACCACAGTACAGCTTCCAAGTAGGGCAGAATCAGGGTTGAGATTGGTGACAAGAATGAGGGCTCGGCCGAGACGCTCTTTCTTGAAGTGAGGGAACGTAAGAGTCCTGTTGTATACATGCCTACTTCTACGTGGAGTGAAAGGCATTGTTGTGTGGCAAAACAGAAAGAGGAACGGCCCGTTGTCGCAGCTGACGCCAAGACGAGTTTGTTCCCGCCCGCGATGCGGCCCCCAAACTTTGATATTCGCTTTGCGCAATACAAAGTCCCCTTTTGGCTGCGACCAAAGGCACACATGATACAACGGGTCGCCATGATTTGAGCTTTATTTGCGTTGGCCCGTTTCTGGTTACTACCTAAGGAGCTCGTTCTCATCAATCTCAGCAGTCTCGGCGGAGCATATTATGGGTTTGCTTCTTTCAACCCCTCCCTCTCGGACTGTCTGCGTCGTCGACTTCTCTACATTTCAGAGGAGAATTCCAGAGGTAGTTTTCATTTGCCAGTTTCGGCAGGCATAGTTTTGCTCTTTCGATGTTCATAAAGCCATTCATCGTTAAATCTTCTAAACTTCCCCGCCTCTGCCCCGTGGTATCTTCAAACAGACCTAGGAAAAGCCGGGCAAAGTGATGCTACAGCCGAACCTCTACTTCGAAGTTTCTCCATCCAAATCCTTAAACTCTGTCAGGATCCATTCCAAGAACTTTTTCCAGCGCTTCTCCCATTCCATCCGCACTGCCGCGAGTTCTTCTTTTGACATGCAAGAGTGCTCTAGACTCCACTCAATGAGCTGTCGCCAGCCGTGCAAGGTCATGTCTGTCTTACCCACCATCGCCTGGTAGAAATCGTGTGAAAGAGTTGATCTACGGGGGCTCTGATTAGCTTTTACTGTGTTGTGGCCTAGTCGAAAACGAGAGATAGACATACCTGAATATTGTTCCGTTATCTGAATTTAATGTGCAATGTACGTTGTTGGCAAGCAAATTGTACATTGAATGGCCTGTAATCCGGGGCGTGAGACCGAGCTCCTCGTTCGAGATTGGGCACACCTCGAGGCAGATGCCCCTCTTCTTCATGTGCTCCATAATGTAGGGATGCCTGGCCAGCGCAAAACCGTGGCCGATGCGCTTCGAGTTGAGCAAAAGCGCATCCACGAGGTTGCCGTCCGTCTCATTGCCAATGTCTGTCGTCTCTCCGCAGTGGAATAGGAATGGAATATCGACACTGGCTTCTTCGCATTTTTGCCTAAAGGCGAGGAACTCTGCGATGAAATCCCGCAGAGGGCGGCCCTTGGATTCTTCGCCGACCAGATCAAATCCTGTTCTGTCAATTGTCTGCTTCGAAGATGGCTGCACGTAATGACTTACCGGCAATCCACTTGGGCCATTTCTGCTTGAACTTGAGACATTCATCAAGTGCAAATGCCACCGTGTCATTGGAAAAGGACCGAGGTGTGCAATAGATGACCTTCAGCCCGCCAAAATAGTCTTTAGTCTCGCGCTGAAACTTTTCGCACTCTTCGATAATCATGTTCATGATACCGTCGTTGTCAATTTGCCGCGTTCCATCGTCAGTCCAGAGCTGGTTTGTCTTCATGAAGTTAGGCCGAATCTCGGCATACTGGATGTTGTCGCGGACAAAATCTTCAAGAATTCCCCGGGTGTATCTCCGGTAGGCGGTTTCATAATTGAAGAGCCCTTTCATCATGCGCGTCCGGCCGTTAAACTTTTCCCAAGCTCCCTGGACTGTTTGAAGCGCGTTGTGTGCTTCATCCTCATGGAAGACAAGTTTCCTTGTGAGCCATTCCTCGGGGTTTATACCTTTGTAATATTTCGGAAACGCTTTGAGAAACTCTGAGTATTTCATCATTTGTCGTTCCTTATAGTTGGTCTCGAAGAGGTTCCCCGGGTTTCCCTTTTCCTTCTCGGGCGGCAAGATGGAAAACTGGATTTCACACCGGTGAAGGGCCTCACCTTCTGTACCACTCGGCGCCAAGGACAGATCGCTATTGATGAACATGCGGTTCATAGTCTTTGCGATGCCGAGCAATACATTAGGCTGCAAGCAAGCGTTGAAATGAATATGAAGATGTGCCCCCTTTGGCATCTTGACCGCGACTCGAAGTAGGCTCGTCTCGTTGATCAAATCGACGTTGGACAGGAAATGGTCAGCAGGAAAGCGCGAATGCTTCTGACCACCCCACCCTTGCCTTGGCTCAGCCGCGCCATACACCTCGCGCTGGTCTTTTGCCTTGAGTTTTTGAATGATGTCGTTGGCCCTCTTCTCGTTGTGTGATGCCAGCATCTTTGCGCGGAAATCAAATGACAGTGTCTGCTCGCGATTCTTGATTTCTTGTCTTTGGCGAAAGTACTCATCAGGGCCATCTATTTTTGAAGCGGCGATAGTTGATCTCGTGTTCGGGCCGCTATGATCGAGTATAGTAGGTTTCCGGCGACTGCCATCGCCGGCCATCTTGATGACTTTATCGTGGGCTTCGATCATTTCTTGGGCCTTGTCCATGTCTTCTTGGTGCCTGAGGTGATGAGGGTCACGATGTTGATGCTTCCGTAGCCTTCTGGACGAGCGTCGTGCGATGGTATTCGTGTTGATGTTCCTTCTACCCTGACCATCCTTCTCGCCAGGTGCATCGTCCTTTTCAATGTTTGAGCACAAGCTGCCCATGAGACTGGAAACAGGGTTGAGCGAAGAGATTGTTCTCTCAAAGGCCTGACAATGCTTGGATGCTAGAAAAGTGGCTAGGCAGTGAGTGGATTGGCGGTACGGATACACAAGAGGCGTTCTTTGTCGGGAGGTTCTACCGCCGTGTATCTCGGATACACGATCGCAGGGAGATGGAGGTCAATTTAATTGAATTCGTAAAGCTTCTCGGCAGCTTTGACGGTCATCGTGAGCCCTTTCCAACCTCCTTTATCAAAAGTATTGAAAGTGGAAAATATCCTACCCTGAGTGAGATACGGATAGTGCGATGACAAGCAAGGTAGGAAGAGGGTACGTTTGCATGCGGTACCAACAAGCGCTCGGCTGTACCTTTAGCTTGGAGGTCTCATGCTTGGCCTCAGGTGAGCGCAGCTTCAATGTCAAGCAAGGCGTGAGAAAGGTAAAGTGACATGCAGCGGATTCCAGCTCAGCTAGAACCATTCAAAGATGAGCATGCGCTGCTACGCCTGGATCCTGTACCAGGCAGTGGCGGGCTAGCAACACTGCGACCCAAACAGGCGGCACAGACGGACGGAGGTAGGTGGGCTGGCACGCTGGGTGTGACTGTGAATCTAGTGTGCTGAGAGAACATGAATGAGGGGCAGGAGGGAGCTGCCTACCTTACAATGTAGGTACCTTCCCAGCCTTGATGAGAAGTCATTTCCTAATTAGGTTTAGCTTTAATCCAAGCCACATGCGCAGCCCTCTTCGGACTGGGCCAATGAACGAAACCTCTCACGGGCTGACACTGGGCTTTCTACCACAGTAGGGAAGCCACCTCCCGAACCGCCCTCTTCTTCACCTGACTTTCCAACTTCACTTGAGCTGTTGGAAAACGCTGTTGGAAAAGCAGGGAATTTCACTTTTCAGCCAATCTCTTTGATTCTATCTGCCAGCTCTGTTTGGCAGATGGGACTTTCCAAGCAGCTGTTTCATCTTTCAGGCCAGGTACAGACAGTCGTTGGAGCTCACGGGATTTTGCTTTGCCATGTCTCACGTGCCTCTCTTACCAGAACCGACAAAGCATTTGGCCGTTGCTGCCAACGAGCATTTCGGTAATGCTTTCCATTGTCCTTCGCCTCTTCCTGGTCCTTACTTTGCAAAATGAATCACCTTCGCGAAGTCCTCAAGCGATTATGGCGTGCCCAAAGCTTCCCCTTCCCCCTCCCCCTCCCCATCCACGCTACTGTTAGGTGCCTTACCACCCTTACCCAAGGTAGGTGGGTACTCAACCAGCTTCGTCCACTCTACAGTCAACAAGCCGCAATCATGATATCCCATCCATGAGGCTGTCACGCATCCACCTCACGCGACCCCCCTTCTAGAATTTCACAACACAGGGGCTCATTCTCACATGGCAGCCACACCGTTGGAGATCTGCAAACGCCCCGATACGGGACATGGTCCGCGCACGAGCCATTCCCACTGTTCCAGAGATTCGGAATCTTCAACTCCTGCCCAGCACCCCTGTTGGGGGGGTATGACAACGATTAATCCTCTTTTGATCGGGCCAACTATACTTCAAGGCAACAAGGCTGTATGGCGTTTCCTCGTTGGCTCCTGCTAGACCTTCACCCATCTGGCTTACCTACGAATACAGTATGACCAGATTTGGAGGCTCCGACCACAGTTACCTTACCTCGCCTTACTTCACCTTACCCGCCGCCTTTACCCCTGGTAGTGGCTTGACCACAAGCAAGCGCCTGCCCTCGATCGCTTCTCAAAGACTCCACTTCACGTTGGACATCCTATGCGGCCACCTGCCTTTTGATATATTTCCATTTACTACACTACAGCGCTCGGTTAATGGGAGATTCTGTGTCACACCGATATCAAGCTTACACTAATGCTAGTGGCAGAGTGAGACTGGTCTCGAGGACTCCCAAAATGGGTCAGCACCTAGCGATGCTTCACATCCAATTTTCTTGTGGCTTAGATCACGATCTTGTGTTTAGTTTTCAATGAGTCGTCAAGTGACGGCATATTCCACGCCTTGAAAACGAAGATTGGGAATGGGTTGACACAAAAGATGGAAAGCTCCCCTGCAACACTGCCACGCTCGATCGCAAACGCCCTTGGAATCCCACGATTGGCGTCTAATGAGCATGAGTAACGCCAAACTACTCAATCCTGTAACTTTCTTCTGATTTGTCCACAGAAGTCTCTGTACTGTTCATCTTCATCAGTTTGCCGTCTTCTAGCCCAGCCTTCAACGCAGTGTCGTAGCAGCTACCCAAAGTCCCAAACTGCGCCGCCATACATCGGAAAAGGTGTGAGAAAAAAGGTCGGGCTGCGGCTGTTGGGTTAATCTCCAACGAAGAGGCTTGGCAGAACGACCTCAAGGGGAAGGTCATCAAGCGAAGTGTAATTGACGCCACTGCTTTGCTTGGACGCAGACAATTTCTCCTGATGTTCACAGACCTGCTCCTTTTGAACGATGCTAGACGCAGATTGCCGGCTCACGATAGCTTTGACTGAGCTGCGTAACCAATATCCTGTCAACTTTACTGCTTCCCTGCGTACAATACGACGTGTGAAGCTGTTCATATACGGAAATCCCGAGTGGAGTCAAATCATTCACAGTGGACACTGGAGCTTCATATCTTTCGATTAATAGGGAAGTCCGGGAATTCCGCCTAGGCGCAAATGAAATGCCTTTGAGACCCATTCTCGAGTGGAACACGACTCCTTCTCTTCTTCGGAAAACGGAGTACATATATACGCTAACCTATATGCTACCTCCGTTATAGTGTCTAGTTCCATTCGGCCTCTCCTTCGACGCCTCTATTTGTCGATATTATCTTCAGCTCGTCTTTGCCCATCGATTGACAAGGAAGTCCGGGAATTCCGCCTAGGCGCAAATGAATGCCTTTGAGACCCATTCTCGAGTGGAACACGACTCCTTCTTTTTCTCCGGAAAACGGAGTACATATGTACGCTAACTTATATGCCACCTCCGTCATAGTGTCTAGTTCTATTCGGCCTCTCCTTCGACGCCTCTATTTGTCGATACTATCTTCAGCTCATCTTCGCCCTGGTTTGTGTCATGCATGCAAGATACCTGCGATCCCCGGCGTTTGTTTCTTCCAATGGGATGAAAAGTGGACCGGATGGGTACGAGATGGAGCCGGTCTAGATCGAAGAAGAAGGCCGTTCCATATTAACACCAGAAGAAACAAGTCATTCGGTGAACAAGCGGAGTATGCAGCTGGTCCCGGAAGCTCGGTGTTCCTGTTCAGATCAGGAACAGGCGACAGCGGCAAGGGTTAGACTGGATGAAAATGCCGCGATGGTGTCTGGGTAAGGGGGCAACGTCTCGGCACTGAGCGAGGATGATCATGCCCAGCCGTAACGCTGCTTCGTATGTACTATAAATTCCGAGTGTTTCCCCTGATATATTCTGGTTTCTCACTCGCTCGACCATCCTGCTTGCGTAACATTCTGAGCTCGTCTTTAAATAAGCTTGAAAACCAAAGTTCAAGTTCAACAACTCGTCAACATGAGATTCTCAACGCTCGCAGCCGGCCTCCCCCTCGTGGTGGCGGCTCCTCAGGGTCACTCCTTCAAGCAGACCAACAGCGCCTGCAAGGGCCTCGTCCTCGACCAAGCTCCTGAGACCTCGCAGCCCTACGTCCTCCGCAAGGGCTCCGGCCGCGCCGTCCTCGTTGGCGATCAAGTCTACCGCTTCTCCGTCACGGGCAACTCCTCGGCCGGCGCCTTCACCCTGATGCAGACCAACGCCCCAGACTCGTCCGCCCTGGGCGTACTCCCCCATATCCACAAGACCCACTACGAGAACTTCTACTGCACAAAGGGCCAGATCCAGCTCTGGGCTAAGACCAACAGCTCCGGCGAGCAGGCCCGCGTCCTCACCCCCGGAGACTACGGCGCCGTGCCCCGCAACACGATCCACACCTTCCAGATGAACGACCCCGACACCCAGCTCACGGGTGTCATCCAGCCCGGCGGCTTCGAGGAGCTTTTCGTCGCCATCGCCAATACTGACTTCGTCTCCCCCATCGGCTCCGAGTTCGTACCCGCCGCCTCTAACGGCTCCTCCGGCTCCGACCCGGCCCAAATCTCCGCCCTCGAAGCCTTTGACGTCTACGCCCATCTCGACTTCAACCCTCGCCGCGATCTCATTAACGGCAGCGCTGGAGGCCCAAATACCTGGCACACCGCCGCCAACACCCTCGCGCCCGACGTCGTCACCCCCAACTTTATCGCCAAGAACCGCGGGCCAAAGTACCTTAACGCCGACGGCGGCGTCTACCACCTCATCGCCCCCTTGGCAACAGCTAAGCAGACGGGTAATAACTTCACTATGGGCACCGTCACCCTGAGCCCCTTGCTGTCCAACCAGACCGCTACCAAGGCGAACTTCGACCAGCCCCTCGCCTTCCAGCTCGAGGAGGGCGCCCTCGAGGTCGCCGTCGAAGGGTACGACGCCGTGACGCTGATCCAAGGCGACGTCATCTTCGTCCCCGCCAGTACCGCCTTCACCTATGCCGCCTCCGCCGCCTTTACAAAGTTCCTGTACGTTAGCGGCGGCGGCGACGGCTTCGACTACCAGCTCCTCCAGCGCGCCGTGCCTTGGGAGTATACCACGTACCCCATCAACGCCGGCTTCACCGTGCAGTAAACAGAGGTGGTGGTGGTGGTAATGTTACTTTAGGGCACGGGCTAGCTTGGTTTCGGGACCTATGCAGTCATGTTCAAAAGTTGTACATCTTTCAAAATGTTGTACATGTTCCCTCAGCAAATTTTCTACCTACAATGTAATTTGTTCTCCTGCTTGTTATACCCCCGGGATGAGCAGCCCACAAGCCGCATGAGGCCGACGGTATAAATTCCCGAGGTACCCTATGCATTTTTTAGATAGCACCATTAGTATTATTTCGAAAATTCAATACGAGGCCGCTTTAGTGGCGGTGCTCCCATTGTATCGATCAGATATCCCGTGGACTGGCTGCTTATGAATCCAACGGCACTGCCTCTTGGGTTGAGTAGGAACGTACAATCCGCAGTTTCAAAATGCCGAAAGCTTTATATGTGAAATGTATCCAGCGTAAAGCTTTGAGATGCCTCGTATCACAAGTCGCCCGCAAATACCTTACTAGACCTAGTCACAGTCAAGGTCGACGAGGCAGTGATTCCCACTGGGCTGACTTTGCTCTCGTGTGAGAGTTCAGGGGTTACCGTCATGGCAAGCGTCCCCGTGAAGTTTACCACCGAGGTCAACTCCATCGCGGCGGAATCTGCCAAAAGTTCGTAACCAAATCACTGAACCCCGTGAAAGTAGCATAATCTGTGACATGTGATGTCTGGGGCATCGAGAAAGGCAGACTGGGTTCTACTTCCGTCCGCCAGCACACAAACATATGTTTATTTAATCTCAAACGGGCATATCATTCCTTGCAGGCTGGAAACAAAAGTTTCACAATCTCAAAGTATCCATACCAAGGATATGGTGACCTTCAAAATGGCAGTCCTTTCTTTGAAGGGGGGAGCGGCCTGTTGGAAAAGGGGCTTGGGGATGCACAGCCACTGGCCCATGGAGTTGACGATTCGACTAAGTCAGCTCCACTTAGGTCCAGGCAGAAGTAAGATCCAGTAGAATTAATGAGATGAGGAAATGCTTCAATTCAACGTCAGGATTTTATTACTTGATTACGGTGTAGTCGATTTTGCCCCCGGGTGATTCGAGGTGGACGTGTTCCACGACATCGAAAGGATGTCGTGGAGAGCCCGTGATAAACCTTCGTTTTTCTTCAACCCTCCCCTTTTCGAGAGCTGCACAGTGAATAGATATCCAACTTGATTTTTCTACTTTGCAACCCGAGATAGAGTTGCATTTTGGGCTGCCAGATAGCATCTTGAAGATATCGGCACATGACGCTGGAGTTGGAATTGGGACTTTTGTCAACTATTGATTACTTGCAACCCAGCTTAGCTGATGCGAAAGCTTTACAAATGGAAGAAATTCCTGCTGTTGTTCTTCATTCACATCTTGGGTCAATCATTTCTTTCACTAAGGTACCGGTGTATGGAGGGTCATAGGCTCATCATAATGTCCAGAGGAGGGCATGATAGGGGACCCCCCCCCCCCCCCTTCTTGAATCCTTCCTTTGCACTAGCATTCTTCTGAGTTAAATTATTTTCGGAAATGGTTTTGAAACTAATGCAAGCTCTCTGGAAGCCTCGTACTTGCGATGTTGAGAACTGGTCATATTCTCCATCGGGTAGGTGTCGTGCGTATTTACTCAGAAGGCGAGGGTGGGAGGAAGGCAATTGGCGTGAATATTTCCAAAATGTCTTTCATTTCTGGATCACTAACCACACGAATTTATATTTCTTTAATTCTTATCTAAATGAAGTTATGGTGGTGGTAGCAACACTTGTGGTGCTCTCTTGGCTGTTTGAGTGACGAACATTACAACAGGTGTGGTGCTCGGCCGACAATCGGCCGATATTTTCAGCGACTAGGCAAACATAACGGTTCGAAGATACTGGAACTGATATATGTGTCCTCTTCAACCTTAGTTCAATCAGGTAGGTGTTGCTTGAGTACATGTAGGCTTGTTTACAACCTGGCTTTACCGCGATATCAGTTACGGTTGGGTGACGGCACACGCCTGCATTATTTCGATAAGACTCTGTGAATTCCGAGGAAGATTACTATGATGGAGAAGTGAGCTTTTTTGCGAGGGAGACTAGGAGTAAGTGAGAACCTGGCCACAACCTCGAATCGACGACTGGTAGAACCGAGTAATCCCTCCGCCAGCGACAGCGGGAATGAGAACGGAACGCAGCCTCCAGAGCCAGACGTACAAAGAAGCCCGGGAGGGCTCCAGACACCCACATCGTTCCGTCAGCTTCCCCGCTCTGGAAAGACGAGAAAGCGTACCTATGGCGTGACCCGATGCGTCCCAGCGGCGCAGTTCTGCACGCGCCCTCGCATGCCACGCGCTGCTCATGTGTCCCATAGAGATTTCGAGCCTGATTTCAAATTGGGTGTGTCGAATTGCCCTCGCCTAGACCTTTCTACTCGGGGACGCCTCGATTTTACTCGAGAGTCTGGGCAGTCTCACGCATAATTGAAAGCTGCGGAATGTCATGCATGATAGGCATGCTATCGGCCGAGAATGATATCAAGATGAAGGGTAACGACTTCGATAAGGCTAGCTGCAGTTGCAAACAACTAATGTTGCTTGAGCCATGATCAGTTTGTCCTGACCACGGTGGAGGTCCACCAGAGAGCTTTGTGGATACGGTAAAGAGCTGGGCAAGATTCGGTCGTCTTGTTTTTCCATTGATTGAATGAGTAGGGAACTCCATTTTTGGATTTGTAGACAATTTGTGTGACGCTCGCTTGGACTGTCTCGGGAACGATGTGAAGTAGTAGACAAGAGAGCCAAGACTGCGTAAGTAACGCTCTCGATGATGGGCTGCAGGAGATGATTCGCTACGACATTGGCGCCCAAAAAGTAAAATTGCAACATTTGGTAATCACAATGTCTATGCGAATCCGTATGGTAGATGACGTAAAGGGCAGCGGAAGTCATGATGGTCGCCAAGCTTATCTCACATAGGTCTCGCTCTGCATACAAGGGCTTGAGTAAAACAACATGAATAGAGGAGTTTTATGCTATATAGCGACACATGATTACTTTCGTGATTCTTCACAGGTCTTGATACTTGTCAAATCAGTGAAGCCGCCTAAAGTGAACATGATCTCAGGCCCGATGACTATTCTGAGCCTGTTGATGATGGGTATCTCGTGTGGTTTGTCGCACAGCATTCCCCAGTCCATCGCCCACACAAAAATACTTCCCAAAGCCTTAGGTGTGAAGGCCGAGTACGACTATATCGTCGTTAGAGGAGGCACTTCAGGCACTTCAGGCTTGAAAAGTGCTGATCGATTGAACAAGGGTGGCGAGCGTCCGTCCCTCAGGAAAAAGAAGTTAAACAGCGGTGGCGTAATAAGCTGATTCAGTTCTTCACAAGATATTGTGCTGGTTATGGAGCTTGGTCTTTTGGTTTCTTTACCATTCGCTCCAGAATGGACAATACTTCGACTGAGACAACTTCACATCGGTGAACACCCCCGACCCCTGAGCTGACCGAAGAGTTCGAGATCAAGTATGATGAGAGTTTCTGGGGCAATTCATCCGGCATTCATGCCTCGTTTCCATTTTTGTACTGGCCTATTCCGAGTATTCGCAGCTCCTTATCCGCCAGTATAATATGTCGCTATCTAACAAATTGCTACAGATACCGAAGTGGAGGCCTTTGGAGACATTGAAGGCGTCGACTTCCCCATCGACACAGGAGCCAGCGAGCCGGGCATCTTCTGGTACGCAACGTCCTTCGACCCAGCGACCGTGACGCAATCGATGGCCAGAAGATGCCACCGGGACGGTGTTGAAGCCGCTCGGGAGAAACTACGAGACCCTCACGGGGCCACAAGGTGCTCAAAGTGCTCTTCAAGGGTGGAGACCGCTGTGGAAGAGCACTAACACTCAGGGACCTGTTCTTTGCGGGATCCGTTGTCGACTGCCGTGCGCTGAGCAAACCGGCCGACGTGGCCGTGCAGGTCGAGTTCATACCCTTCACACGCAGGCACTTCCTCAAGACGGAGACGCTTGTGTTCCTTTGTGTACGAGGAGAGGGTTCCCGGCGTCAACGTCGCAAGCTTCGAGGCGCAGGGCGAGGCCGTCAGGATGATTAGCCCGACGACGTCTCACCCCCGTCGACACGCCGTCGACACGGCGGCCTTGATGCCGAGTGCGCTGGACCGGGGGTTATTGATGAGCGGTTGTTGGCGTACGGAGTCGGGGGGGTTGAGTATTGTCGATGCTACCTTAGTGTGCAGCCTGACTTGCCAGATACCTGTACGCAGCAGACGGGGTATGCCGTTGCCGAGAAGGTGAGTGTTTTGTGAAGATGTAGGAATTTTTAAGAGAAGATAATGTGTGCTAACGCTGGCTAAGGCTGCTGACTTGATCAAAGCACTCCGGGCGTGAGGTTCGTCAGCTCAGCAGGAACCGGAATGGTGGTTTGCTTGTCAGCAGAGCAGAACACAAGCGTAGGGATGGGAGGAGTTTGGGATTTCAAACATCAAGAGCATTTGCGATGTGCTGATGGAAGATTGAAGAGTGCTGGAACATGATTTGACTGAAATCAAGCACTTGAGGAACAAGCCAACAAGATGCTGCACCATGCGCAATCAGGTCTTGTTGTCTTTCCGCATCACCCCTTCACATCAAGGGCACTGGCACAAAGTATTGGGAGTAGCAAACATTTGATCTCTACTTGATACAACTCAAGGACTCCATCCAAAATACTGGCTAGTAAAAAGGAGACTTTTCGACAGGTCCGTAGCCCTGATACATCTTGATATGTACAATAAATGCCAATGGCACACCATGCCTGAAAACCAAATCTAGTACACCTCGAGAACGTAGCGGCCATCCTCCTTGAGCTTCTCAATCTCATTGCGGGCGTTGACCTTCTTGCCGCTCATCTTGGCCTCGGTGTTGATGGCCTCCATCAGCACGTCCGTCACGTCAGGTACGGGCCACGTGGGACCGCACAGGTAGAAGCTGCCCTCGTCGCGAATGTACGACTGCACAACGTCGCGCATAGACTCGCGCATGCGGTCCTGGATGTAAATCTTGCGGGGCTGGTCGCGCGAGAAGGCGGCGCCGAGGTGCGTGATGACGCCCGCGTCGACGTAGGCCTCCCACTCCTCGCCGTACAGGTATTCCTCGCGCTGGTGGCGGGAGCCGAGGTACAGCAGGATGGAGCCAATCTCCTCGCCGCGCGACTTTTGCAGGGCGCGGTACTGGACAAAGGCGCGGAAGGGCGCCAGGCCGGTGCCGAGGCCGGCCATGATGAGGGGCGCCTTGGAGGATGTGGGAAGCTTCATGACGGAGGGCTTGACGGAGGCGACGACGGTGGCGCCGACGGGGAGGTCGGAGAGGTAGCGGGTCGCGTGGCCGAAGCGGTTGCGGCCCAGGGGGTCGACCCAGTCGACCACGACGATCATGAGGGCGACGGAGTTGGGGGTCACGGCCTGGGCGGAGGCGATGGAGTATTCGCGGCGCTTGAGCGGGGCGATGATGCGCACGAGGTCGTGGAACGAGGGGCGGGCCGACGGGAACTCCTGGAGGATGTCGACATAGGTGACGAAGTCGACTTCGGAGCGCTTCTTGAAGTCCACGGCGCCCTCGGCGCCGCCGAGACTGACGAGAACGGCCTTTTCGCGCTCGTCCGAGGCAAACTCGGACAGCGCCTCGTAGAAACGCTTGGGCGGCTTTCCGAGAACGTCAATGTTCTGCTTGAGGGACTGGTAGACGGTGCGGGTCTCGAACGCGGCGTTGTCTTCCCGGGCGGGCACCTGGACAAGGGCCTCCGGGTCGAGGCCATACCACTGGATAAAGGCGCGGACCTGCTCGTCGTCGTTCTCGGCGTGGATGCCGAGGGCCTCGCCAATGTTGTAGGTGAGACCGGAGTCGCCGAGGTCGAACTCGATGTGGAAGATGTTGCGGTCGTAGTTCTGGGGCGTGAGACGGCGGTTCTCCTTGACGGTGATAGTGTGGGTCTTCACGGGTAGCTCCGGGCGGAGGGAGCTCTGCGTGCCGTAGGCCTCCTTGAAGGTGAGGCCCTTGGCCGCGGCCTGCCAGTCGACGAGCTGGGAAGATTCCTCTGCCTCCTCCTTGTCGAAGCCGACGAAGCTGTTGGGCTTGATGGTGGCGGGCAGGGGGCTGACAACGACGTCCTCGGGCAGCTCGGCCCAGGCGGCCTGCGACTCGATCTTGCGTAGAGACTGGCCGAGGGCCTCCTGGGTCTCGGCGAGGGTGCTGGAGAATCCCTCGCGGAGGGCGACCTTGGCAATCTCCTCGGCAGTGATGTCGGGCCGGGCGATCTGGAGGAAGGCAAACTCCAAGAGGACCTTGACGGCCCGGGACTCCTTCTCGGTGAAGGCAGACGCGGCGGCGTCCAGGATGTAAAGCTCGATGGACTTGTCCTTGATCTGCTTGCGCACGACAGGGGAGAGGCGCTTCTCGAGATCCTCCTCCTTGAAGCTGGGAAGGTTCAGGAGAAGCTTGCCTCCGGCCTTGACGCCCTTGACGATGTCAAGATCCTTGAGGAGCTTCTCCTCGCCGACAGCAACGACATCGGCCTCCTCGACGGCGTAGGGCGCCTCGATTGCCTTCTTGGAGCTGCGGATGTCGGTGCGGACGATACCGCCCTGGAGCAGGTTGTCGAAAGACTCGTGTACGTAGACATTGCTAGTAGACTCGCGGGAGAGCAAGTTGCTGACGACGGCCGGGGAGTCGACGGCAACGGAGTTGTCCACATCCCAGAATGTGTACTGGTGAGCCTGGACCAAGGCGGGGAAGGGCTTGGATTCGGTCTCGGCACTGAGGAGCTTGCCAAAGATGTCGGCGACGGTCTGGGGAGTCAGGGCCTCCGAGGCGGAGTACTTGACGTCCGAGACGGTGGGGTCCTGACGCCACTTTCCAGAGAAGGAGACGGAAGTCAGGACGTCGGTGTATAGGGCAGACTGCAAGGAGGCGTCGTTGACGGAGAGCTCGTCCTTGACCTGGCCCAGAACGGAAATGGTTCGGGCGGACGCGGGAATGCTGGCGAGGAAGGCCTCCTCGACAAAGGGGCGGTAGACGCGGACGTTGATGGCACCGACCTTGGCGCCGTCGGCGGCCAGGCGGGTGACGACCTGCTTCGCGAGCTGAGTCTCAGCGCTGCCGAAGACGACGAGTACGGCCTCGGCCTGGTCGTGTCCGTGGTACTCGAACAGGTTGTAGGCTGTGCCGAGCTCGTTGTTGAAGAGTCTGAGGAGCTCAACGACCTTGCCGGCGTCGTCGAGCCTCTTATTAAGAGACTGGACCTCGCTCGATATCTTCTTGTACGTCTCGGCGACGCCCTTCTTGTTCAGAGCATCCGAAGCCTTCAGGGTCTGTTTGGCGAGCTTGACGCCGTCCTCGACTCCCAGGTTGGGGGTCAGAGCGGTCATGAGAGTGGCCAGGAGCGCGGTGTGCTGGCTCTCGTGATCCTCGGTAGGATCGAGGTGCTTGTTGAAGACTTCCAACAGGCCCGCGACCTTGGATGAAATTGCGGCTCGCTCAGACACACCGGTGGACTCGGAGGTGATGTTGTTGTAGAGGTCAGCGATGCCGCTCTGGCTGAGGGCATCGACGACACGGGAGGTCTCGCGGGCGAGCCTGACACCGTCGTAGATATGCAGCGTGGGCATCAAAGCGGCCATGAGGGTCGCGAAGAGCGCCATGTGCTGGGTCTCGTACGCGCTGGAGCTGGCGACTAAGCCGAGGCCAAGGTCCTCCGCGGTGCGCAGTGCGGTGTCATAGTCGGAGACCAGGCCGTTTGCGGCGTCGTAGTCGAGAGCCGCGACGTGAGCGACGAACGGGGAGGCCACGCCGTACAGCAGGCTCAGCTGGTCCAATGCGCCGCGCAAGTTCTTCAAGCTCAGAGTAGGAGCGAGAAGGGTCTGGGGGAGGTGTCTCTTGGCCAAGTCAAAGTCGGGGCTGAAGATGTAGCCGAGGGCGAGAGCGCCGGCGCCGGTCCTGGTCTGGAGCCGGATGAGGTCGGTGGTCTCGCCGTGGATGTTGTGTTCCTTGGCATCGGCCCAGGCCTTTGCGGCGACATCGAGGTCGAAGGTGGGGGCGGAGTAGGAAAAGATCTTGTCGGAGAGCAGGAAGGCGACCTGCTGGACGAGCAGCTGGGCCGTCACGTAGGTAGGTCCAGAGATGGAGGAGAGGGCTACGGGCTGGCCAAAGGGAAGGGTAGAAGAGACCTTCTTCTGAGGGGCGGAAGAGGGCGGCGACTTCGCGTGAACCGCGGCTGCAGGGCCGGTGCTCTCTTGCTGCTTGAACTGCATTTTGGGAGGTTGTCGAGACAAGAAATTGGGAATAAATACAGCAAAGAATATGCGATTCAAGACGGTCCAAGATACACGAAGGACCAGAAGATAGAGCCTCAACACTCGCAAGAGAATGGTCGCTACTGGAAATAATTGGTACCCTCAGGAGCAAGTGAAGTCACTTGCGCCAACCTGAACGAGAGCAAGGAAGTGGCTTCTTCGTTCTAGGAGGACCTTCAGGTTTGTAAGTGAAGAAAGGGACGTAAGAGAGAAGTTCACGAAGTTCTCGTCTAAGAAGACTCCGACCAGGCTCCGAGGATATTGGGAAAAAAAAAAAAAGGTGAGAAGGACCGGCAAAGGGATCCTTAGCCGGACTCACCTTAGCTACCCAGCACCGGGAACCGATGAAGGGCAGGCAATCAGAGAAGCGCATTTGTAAGGCATGAGGGTCCCCAGCCATGCGCAGTCGTGTTCATTCTGGCTCTTGCACCCTGCTGTCTGCTGGTCAATTCCACGTTCGCGTGCTCGCGTGCGAAACTCGGCGTTTGGAAATTGGTGAAGCTTGGAGAATTGCGTCTAGGGGATAATTGCGCCATTGCGCGCCAATGAGCGCTCGGGAACATCTGGGGTGGCCCCATATTGCACCATTTCTAATCCACTCGAGGTCCCTCGACCAGCGCACATCCGCTTACCAAATCCACGTCTTGGTCTGGGCTCAAAATTGCGTGCTCGACCATCCGGAAATGCAAGCCTCTTTTGCGGCACCTTTCGCCCCAGATTTGACACTCGTCGGTGGCAATCGCGTGCGGCCTTCCTACTGCCTGTGTCATTGATTCTAGGCTGTCGGTCGGCCGTCCGGCAATCGGGCGACGGTATCCGCTCGGTCACGGCATCGGCTTCCGCCCCCGTCGTCACCATTCAACTACACCCCAAACTACAGTTATGCACTCACCATGCACCACACTCTCTCCCATTTGAACAAGATTATAGTTCAATTGCTGGACGGGCTTCAAAGCGGTGATCTAAACGAACTACGGCATAAAGGAATGAATCAAGAATCCAAATGTCTTGTTGCACGCTCACCTAGGCTCAAGTACCTTGTGGTTGGAATCTTACAACTGCCGTTTCCATAACACTTCTGACTGCCGTTCTCGGACAAAATCTCCACCGCAACACAGTTCTCGCCCCAGTTGATCCCTATTTTGTAGATAATATGAACAGCGCACCAACGCTACCAACAGGAGAAACGAAACGAAACTTTCCGGCTAATTGAATTCATGACTTGACTTAACACTTATGCCATGATCAGAAAACGGCATTTGATGCCACGAGAAGAGACTAGGACGAAGATTTAAAAAGCAAGAAGGGTGATGTGGGAGACTCGGGTTGGGGAAGGCGTCAAGTTACATTCAACAATTACTTGTCTTTGTCAATTCACTTCTCGTTTTATATAGCATTAGGTATCCTCTGGTCATACACAACAAAAGTGGTGATACATGTAAAGCAACAGTTTCCCCCCCCCTTCTCTACTCAATCTTCCTCGCCCGGAACCCAAGCCACGGCACCTTGCTTCTCAGCGCCAGTGAGCTCAACACAACACTAATACTAGACAGCGCCATCGCCAAGCTGGCCCAGACGGGATCGAGCCGCACGTGCTGCCCGCCGTTCATGACAATCGGGTACAAACACCCGGCAGCGATGGGGATGGCCAGAAGGTTGTAGATGACAGCCCAGCCAAAGTTGACCTTGATGCGCCTAAACACTGTACGGCTGAGCTCGAGCAGCGTGACCACGGCGCGGAGGTCGCTCGTGACGAGGACAAAGTCGGCGCTCGAGATGGCCACGTCGCTGCCGCTGCCAATGGCGATGCCGACGTCGGCCTTTGTCAGCGCGGGGGAGTCGTTGATGCCGTCGCCTACCATGGCGACTATGGCCCGCTTCCCGGTGTGCTCGCTACCCCGGGCCCCCGCCTTGAGGACCGATTGTAGATAGGTGATCTTGTCTGCCTTTTCCCAGGGGAGGACCTCGGCCAGCACGTTGTCCGGATCGATGCCCACCAGGTCCGCGACAGCCTTGGCGGTGACGACGTTGTCGCCCGAGAGCATCCACACGCGAGTGCCTTGCTCGTGGAGGGCTTTGATGATGCGGATTGCCTCGGGCCGTATAGGGTCGGAGATGGAGAGGGCAGCGACCAGGGTCCAGGGATGACCGTCCGCCGTGGCCATGGCCGTGGTGTCGATAGTACCAGGAGTAGGTCTGGTAGCGACCAGAGCGACCGATTTAGCCTCGCTCTTCCACTTCTGGAGCTGGGACAATACGCCTTCGGCGAAGCGGACATCGTGATCGCGCATCAGCGACTCGTTGCCGACAATCATATCGAACGCCTCCTCGGGATTTCCCCCACGGTTCGTTGCCTTCATACCCTTGCCCGGCAGTTCCTGAAGGCTATCGACGTCGACCCAGGCCTCCGTCTGCGAGGTGCAGTAGGACACAATGGCCTTGGCAACGGGGTGGCTGCTATTCTCTTCAATCGCTCGCAGGGTGGCTAGGATCATGCTGGGCTCGAGGCTGCTGTCCTCGAGATAAAGCCTCGCGTCGGTGACCTTTGGCTCGCCGCCGACGGTGAGGGTGCCCGTCTTGTCGAAGACGACCACGTCCACGTTGCTGGCCTTTTCAAACGCCTCGCCTCCTCCCTTGGCGAGGATGCCGTGCTTGGCGGCGAGACCGCCGCCGACGAAGATTGCGGTGGGAGCTGCCAGGGCCAGACCGCAGGGGCAGGCGACGACGAAGACGGCGATGGCGAACTGTAGTGCAAAGGCAGCCCAGCCGCCGTCCGTGTCGAGGTATTGTGCAGGGAGAACGCCAGCGTAACCGAGAATCATCCACGTGAGCCATGTAACGACAGCGATCAAGGTGATGATGGGGACGAAGTAGGCCGTCAGAACGTCGGCGATGCGCTCCATGGGCGCCCTCTTTGTCTGGCCCTCTCGGACAATGGAGACAATCCGGTCCAGCATGGACGCGCCCGCAGCCCCTGTAATGCGCACCTGAATAGCCGAGTCTTTATTGACTGTGCCAGCATGGACCTCGTCGCCTGGTACCTTCTTGATGAGACGAGACTCGCCGGTCAAGCTAGACTCGTCGAAGCTGCCCTCGCCTTGCACCACAATACCGTCTGCGGCAGGAGATGCACCGTGAGGCACACGCACAATGTCTCCAAACTCGAGCATATCCACGCCAACGGTGGCGTCGTTGGTCTTACCAATGGCGTCCTTGGTGACGAGGATGGCGGTGGTAGGTCGCAGTTTACCCAGCATCTCGACCGCATCGCCAGTCTTTGACTTGCTGTATGACTCGATCAGACGACCCAGGAGCAAAAACAGGGTCAGGAACACGACGGAGTCGAAGTAGAACTGTGTGTTATCAACCTTTGCAGGCTTGTTGATGGCAGCAGAGATCATCTGACCGATGGATGAAACGTAGGCGATGGTAGTCCCGAGGGACATGAGCATGTTCATGCTACCAAACTTGTAGAATCGACGAAGGATGGGCGTCTTGCTGCCCGGACGCCACAGGTTCCTAATCTCCTTCATGGCTCTGGTGTGGAAGACGTCGGCCCCAAAGAAGTATACCGGTGTTGCGAGGATGAATAGGGCGATCTGAGCTCGGTTGATGCCCAGGGTCCAGGGTTTCATGAGGTAATGTTTGCCCTTGTCCGTGTCTGGGACCAGACTCATGTAGACAATGCCAAAAATGAAAGTCGGGATGGTGACAACGAATGTCAAGTAGACCCGTCTCAGGAGCTGGTGCTGGTGCTTCTGCGTTATAAGTTTGGAGCGCTCCTCAAGACTGGGCGGGTGGTAAATCGAGGCTTTGAAGGCAGGATCGGCGGCATCGATGGCGGATAAGATGTGCCGAATGGTAAAAGAAGGCGCACTCGGCGTATATTTGACGGTGACGAGCGGCTTCTCGTGAGTGGGCTTGGAAATGACCTTCAATCTGGGTGTGAAGGAAGTGAGAGAGTGCGTTACTCGACTGGGACAGTGTTGGCAGTAGAGGCCCTTGATTGAGATTTGCACAGTCCTCTGCTGCGCACCCTTGTCCTCGGTCTTAACTCTTGATACGCTGTCCAGCGTAGCGTCGTAGCCCATGTCTTCGATAGACTGAACAATGTCGTCTTGCTTGCCTTGAACAATAAAGTCAATTGTGGCATTATTAGCCACTAGGTTGACAGCAACGTTGGAGATGAAGTCCTTCTTGTTCAGCTGTTCGGTGATGGTGTTGGCGCAGGAAGCGCATGTCATGCCGCCAATGGCCACAGTTGCTCGCCATTTCTTTTCGTCGCCTTCGTCTCCGCTGTACTCATCACCGGACTCTGCGTATTCCGTGACGCTGTCTAGGTTGGCATCGTAGCCCATGTCTTCAATGGCATCCGCAACCTTTGAAGCATTGGACTTGTCTCTGATATCTACCGTGGCACTGTTGGTGACTAGGTTGACGGTGGCATTGTCGATCCACTCCTGCTTGTTGAGTTCCTCGCTGATGGCGTTGACGCAGGACGCGCAGGTCATACCGCCGACAGAGAGGGTGACCCTCCATTTTGAGCCTCCTGACGCCATTGCTGTGACACTGTCGAGACCATTGTAGAGAGAGCTCCGCACACTGTTGACACGTGAGTTTAAAAGGTCGGCGGTTGAGGCACCGCTGTCCTCTGAATCACGGCATTGCTTGCAGTTGAGAAGATGGGCTTCCCGCTGGGCCTCGGGTGAATCAGAGGACCACCTCGGGGCGAAGGAGAGCAGGCCATCGAGGGCGCCGCCGTTGTGAGCGTCCATAGCACCAGATTCGGGCTGAGTGAAGGTGATGGTGTCCATGTCGAATTCGGTGGCAGCCGTTGTCGTGACACCGCAGATCTCGAAGCCGGCATCTTGAAGTGACTTGGCCATGCACCGGATGGTGATATCGGGGGTTGGCGTGTGTCTGTGTTCAATGGTGACGACGGAGGTGACAATGTTTGGTGAGACCCAGATGACATCGTGACTGGACGACTCCCGCAGAGCCTGCTGGATGGAAGAGACGCATGATGGGCAGTGCAAGTTGGCGAGCAGAAATGAGGTGGTGATGCGAGGGTGCCTTCCGTCGTCCATCGTCACAGTCTGCAGGCTTAGTAGCCGTTGTTTCTGCCGCCCGCTGTCGTCGCCGTCTTGTTTGTATTTATAATGATAGAAGCGGTGCAGAGGGATGGGAGAAGTGACGGGAACCTGGGATGGAATGTTGAGGGAGCTCACAGGAGGGTGTCCCAGTTGTGGATTTTTGCAGCGGCCCAGGTCAGCTTCCGGAGAAAGCTACGAGAGCTTTTGGGGCCCGTACGTCGTGTCTTGCCTTCTATAAGATTCTTGTAGGGAAGATGCGAGGATGCTAAGAGCGACAAAGCAAAAGATGAGGGTGAAAGTAGAAAAGTGGTAGGATGAAAGGCTGAGTGAACAGTAGCCAGATAAGCTTGGGCAGACGATGGTCTGTTTGCTTCAAGCTCGGTGTCCGAGTTTTTTCTCCAAATGAATGCCGACGGGGGGACCTTTCATGCAGCACCTCCAAACCATAAAAATTTACAGATGCCGGGGTGGCGGCGATATTTACGAGAGTTCTACGATTGTTTGACCTCCCCCTCGTTTGCTTGGTCACTCGGTGCTTGAACTTTTTTCCTTTTTAAGCGCGGCAATTGTGCTGCTGCTTTGAAATGTTGAACATATTGGCTGGCCCCTTTGCCTCTTTGGGGATGCGCGTTTTATGCGGTGCAGAATTCTCAGGTATCATAGTCAGCAACTCACCACTTTTCTGCAGGAACACGGTACTCATACTGTCTAATTCGGCTGCTAGAGACTGTGCTGACACTGTCCAATCAGGTACTGAGAACGCAGGCGTGACGTAATCTGCTCATAATGGGTCCGTCCAGGTTTCATTTGGGTGCCTCAAGGGGCACGTTGACACGCCAAAACCGAGCGCGCTTGAGGACTGCATCTTTCCAGTCTGGAAACCACCTGAATCTTCCGACGGCGTTCCATTTCCGTCTGGCACGTTTAACAATCACTCATCCGCTATTAACCGACCTTTACGGGAATGATCCATGTCCCATCTCTTGGTTTCCAGTGGCAAATCTCGTCCGACTGCGTTTATAGCGTCTCCCCGCATTGCGCTAGCCGCTAGCCGCTGCAAGATCCACGTGGTCTCCGATTTCTAAGCGCAGCTGCAGTTGCCATTGGATTGCTTAGCCTATCTTCGACACGGCATCTCGGCGGCTCGCCTGCTGGCTATTCGTGTCTCCTTCTGTCGTTGAACTGCACTCGGAGACGGACCGTTGGCAGGGACTACATATAATAAGGTACCCTTCGGTACCTGGCTCACTCGCGTGCCTGGGTGCAACAAATGATCCACAGAGTGCCACCATGAACTTTCAACAGAACGACACAAATCGGGTGACACAGCTTGTGTTGTACACGTTAGTAGCGGCCTAGCACTGTCGCTCCACGTTATCTTCACGGTATCCGTACGAACTTGGTCGATGCCCTCACCAGTTGATACTTCGCATTCCGCTCGGAACAGTCCCGGCAAGAAACCTCGATGCCTCTCCTCTCGTTCGCTGAGTGTACCATGGCCGCGAGGCATTTCCAACAACTGTGACGGAAACGACTTGTCGCTTCCTCCAAACACCACCCCACTGCGCCTCCATGCGGTCGAAGCTTCGCCTTCAAAGTTGTATCCCGGCAGCTGAGTATCGCAAACCGTCCAAGCAAACTGCGGACTCGCTCACACGAAGAATTCTGGAATAATTTCCAAGACTGCGCAAATCATTTGGAAAGAATCACTACAGGAATCTTCGGATAGCAAACCATTCTAGAGGTCGGTGAACAGACGCGAGAGGCCTGGAGCATCATCACGTCGACTGCAAGCGCTCACAGCTCAGCTCAATCCCATGTCATCACATCTCTCCAACAATGGGGCTGTGCGAGCTCTCAACTCAGTCAACACTTAAAGTCTACAGATACCTCCAAGATCAACGAGCAATTTCTTCGTCTTGGCATTTTGATCTCGCCATTGGCAATACTGCGTCGATCGACGCTCATAATGTTGAAAACCAAAGCCACGATGCGTGTGGGGCACGGCCCGATACAAATGCTAGGGTGCTTATCCTTCGCCATCGCCGCGCCAGCCGTGAGCTCCGCCATGAGCGTCATAAGAATACAATCTTACGGATATCTCAAACATTATTCAGCTTTGAATGTTCACAATAGAGTTGCCATGGATTTTTTCCTGCTTGCCTTTTGCCGAGACCTCCCATAGTCATTGGCAGCCATGCGAGCGCCTCGGCAACGAGCCCATGGGTCCGGTTGGGAACTTGGGGCTGAAGATGGCGCAGCAGCTCCTCAACGGCCGTTGAAGTTTGCCAGCGCCTCGAATGTGAACAATCTGGACCAACTCAAAAATGCATCTAAGGCAGCCTACCTTACACAATCCTAGTGTAATAACAACCTGGGAAATGAGGAAAAATGCAAACGGTTGGCCAAAGCCACATCGAATCAACCTTGGTACCCTTAGGTGCGCGATCGATGAGAGCAGGCTGACCCGCGACTTCCCGGTCTGCCTCAGCCGGAGCCCTCGGTCTGGCGACGCGGCCATGTTGCTTGCGCCAGCGGCCCAGCGGGTTTGCGCGGGGCTCCTGGAGAACAGGGATGCAAGTCATTTGACCTTGGCGTGAGGCGACCCTTTGCCACGGCCCGTGTCCACGAATCCGGGGGCGGGTTCTCACGCACCAACGCACGCACGCACCCAGGCGCATGCGACGGCCCACGGCACACGGGCGTTGGGCAAACGCTGACAGGCGCATACGGGCTGTGTGATTAATACTGACCAAACCTCGAGGAGAAAGATGACATTTTCATTGGGTACAGTCTACAGTCTACTGGGCCTGTTGGACTGGACTGGACTGGACTGGAGAGACATGGCAGTCATCCGACCGCAAAACTTGGCCCCGAACTCGTGACTCATCTACACTTACAATACACTCCACCCAGCCCCTCCGAGCCGGTCCTGAGAGACCCACGCCGACCCCGACCGCCGGCCAGCGGCCAAGCATGGGACGAAGCTCCGTCCTCTGCTGGGCTCAACAGAAAGCGGAGACACCCTGCAACTGGCATCCACGTATCCATATCCTCTCTAGGCCGCAGGTGTGCCTACTAGGTACGGCCTGGGCGAGGCCTGGGCCGCCAGGTCTTTTTCATGATCGTGACTTCTCACAAACATCCTCATCCACTAATACGAGTGGGAGAGGGCGAGGTCGGATTTTTTTTCGCGGGGTCGGGGCCTAAAATCCTGCTTCCTGATATTTTTCGTCCTTCCCACCCCCCCCTTCGACCCCAGCCACACACGTATGGATACATCCTACGACGGAATCTGACGATGCACGACCATCACGCACGCCCCTCCCCTTTCCCAACCTCCGTTCCGATGATTGACCGACATTTCCTCAAAGAAGTATAGCGGTTGCATGACAAGGTACGCGGGACGATGGCGATTGCAGCCTGAATTCCCCATCGTCCACCAGGATGCGCATTCTGCAACGATCTTGTTTACTTTTCCTTCTTCTTCTTCTCATCCTCATCCTCCAAATCCGTGATGACGATGCCTAGAGGACAAGGATCACTCCGGCATAACAAGGTAACCAACATACGTGTTGAAAAACCGGGGGGTTGTCGAGCAAGCAAGGACCCTCCACCCCACGCCTACAGATACAGGGTCAAGAACTCTCTTCTTTCGTCGTCGCCCAACCAAAAAGCCCAAGATGTCGCCTTGTTGGATTTTCCCACACTTTCTCAGACGTCATCATTCTTTTTGGAACACCTACTAGAATACTCCGAGGAAAAAGAAGAGAAAGAAAAAAAAAACCTTGTCGGCGAATTTGTATGCCATCGGGCACGCATGGCCACTCTCCGGATGGGCGTTGGCACCGTTGAGTACCTGATGGCCTCCATTTTTGCCGTGTAACAACCCGCCCCGTCAAATTCCTGGTGTTGCTTGTACGATACAAAGCGCCGGCCCAAAAACACTTACACACAGGCGTCTTCCGACCGTTGGACACAGGGCAGAATCTGGAGAGGGGAAGGATGCAAAGAGGGAAAGACGAGAAAGATGACGATATCCCGAGAATTCTCCTTTGGAGGGTAGGGTAGAGGATTGATTCTCCGCACCCCCTCCTCCCCGCGCGTCCTCGACATCGTCAACCTCACATCCCCCGCTCCTGATCTAGATTTCTTTCCTTTCTGGAACCGGACAAGACGGACAGAAAGAAGCGCATCTTTGCTCGACACTCTCCGGGATATTCCATCAAAGAGGGTTGAAAAAAAGCTCACCAAATCCGAGGACCCGGAACGATACCCGACAACGCTCTACATCGCCGTAGTGGTAGCGCTAAAGGTAGTAGTAAATGGGGGCTGAGGTCAAGAGTCCGGAGCGAGGAGGAGCCTAGATCTAGATTGTGGATGAATTTGATATAGACCGTCAAGTGTCGAATACCCATAACCCCGCGATACCTAAAGGCCTGGACTTCCCATTCCCACCGCCGGCACCGGCATCATCGACCGCTAATGTACCTAGTCCGAGGGGGAGAGAAGAGAGAGCGTGAGAGAGAAGGAGGCAAAGGATTAGGAAAGTGATCCAGCCACAGTCCATAGTCAATCCATTCTAACCGTACAATCTAAATCGGTCTCGTCTTCCCTCCTTCCTCCTCACTTTGCCCCCCTTCGACGCCTCCGGTGACGAGATCTAAAGGCCTGCGGTTGCGCATCGCCCCTTCCGAAGCCATTACCGCACGTAAACGTCCCTTCCCCAAGTCCGTCCCCGTCTCCGTCCCCCCCCCTACCCGATCTACCCAGCACCGCATTCATCGTCGTCGGCAAATCCCAAAGGTTTCGCCCTATTCAAACCCCCGCCTTCCCACCCCCGCCCCAAATACGGATTCCCCAAATTGCCGAACTCGTCGAGGCGAGTTATGGGTGTCACAAAAAAGACGTTAAGATTACAGTGGTCGATGCAACTTCAAGGTTTTTTTCTTTGGTGCCAGCGCACCCATCCATCCAGTAGATATACACACACA